TCAACTATGGAGAAAATATGCCTTATAGAGCATAGTCCACATGCGTATTACCTGACACCATTTGAAGACCTTGCTGCTCACATGCTTGCCATCTTAGCTGACACCTTATTCATGTCAATGTGAGTACATGTTCTGTTGTTCCAAATGTGACACAGAGGGCTTGTCCAGACTTCCTTTTGTGCCATGCTTCTAGGCACAGGTCCGCACTTTAAAGTGCTGTGTCCTAGCATTCCCGCCCCCCTCTGCTTTTACCGCTGAATCAGAGCAAACAGCAATCCACAGAAAACCCCTTCTTGCCTTTTGTTCTGATTCAGTGTTAAAGTGCCAATTTTCTCAGGGAAAGCACCGTGGCAAAAAGAAGAGGGCTGTGTGTGCTTGGACATAGCGCTTTAAAGTATGGAGTTGTATCTTGAAAGTGCAGGGCAAAGGGTAGGTGTGGATGAGTGTGGATGTAACGAAGTTGTATTAACTTTCTAAATGACAAATCCTCAGTGTTAAACTATGTTCAGCATTTAACTATGGCAGTAAGAAGCATATAAATGTTTTCGCCTTTTGTATGCATTTCAGAATACGATTGGACTAATTGCAGGTGTTAAAATAACGATCCTTATTTTCCTACCTTTCTTAAATCAGGGGTCAAATAGAGGAAATAAGAAATGAGGGTCTCAAGGTCAGAGGGAAGTGCTTAATTAATCTGCTGGGATTTTTTTAAAAAAATGGCAGGCATTTAAAACTGCTGGATTAAATCAAAACATCTTTAATGCCAGTGGAATACTTTCCTTATTCTGGATAGCATACTGTACTGAATGTGCTTATGTGGAGTTCTCTGTTGTCAAGATTCTAAAATTTCCTTTTACTAATAACACTCTAGAGATATAGGCCTGCTGTTCTTGCCCCCGACCCTCTGACCTTTGGTGTCTGCTTAGATCCCCTGCTTTGCACCCAGTGCTGGGTTTTTAAAATCTATTTCATCCATAGACTTCCAGGTAGGTCTCTAGTGCAGTAGGAACAACCAACAGCTTCAATAATGTGCAAATCACCATGCTGTATTCCCTTTTGATAAACTTCTTCCACTCTTTTAGGGTTACAGGAACTCACTTTGATGAAACCTGTTCTGTTTGTTCTTATCTATGGCCTATAATTTCTCATTTTGAAATGACGAGCTGTTTTTCAATATTTGGTTTTTCTAAATTTTAAATTTACTATTTACTGCTTGCCTTTATAGAGTTAGACATGGGTTTCATGACTATAATACTTATTAAATGCCTTCATTTTAAAAAGGATTTAAAGCCATTAATCCAAAACATATTGTTTTAGGTGTGGCTTTATTGCAAATAGGGTTATCACATTTTAACTTGCTTTGCAGTGTAGCAGATGCATGAAGCTGTTCTTTTCCACAGAAGAAGCAGCCCACTTCTAATAGAAGGAAATGCTTTGCATCTTAAGAATAATTCTTAAGAAATTGTAAGAGTCCCCAGCTTCTTTCATCATAGTGTCCCTGTTGAACCAAACTCTCTCTGCCAGAATACATATGTTAATACAGTATTGCCTATCCAAAACTAATAAGGCTTTGAATAAATGTCCACATTAAACTGCCTTATCCAAGCCCTTTTCTAGAAGTAGAAAAGTGTGGATAATTAATGCACATGAAATGTGACAGACCCTTTCCCCTATCAGCGGCCTCCTTGCTCAACTGTACCCAGAGAAGATGCTCTCTATGTGCTCAGGAATCTTACAAAGGCATGGCTTCTGACAGTGTGGAGAAAGCTCTCTTTAGATTTTCTAAAGGCTGCTGTTGAGTCCCACCTCCTCCCATTTTCATTACAGTCCTTTTGAAGCATTTAAACTGGAGATAGAGCCAGGGCTGTCTATTCCTGACTGACAGCCGACGGTCTACTCTGCTCTGTCCAAGTCAGAGTGGCCTCCCTTCCTTGGTACCAGAGAGTCTTTTAAATGGAGAGGCTAGGGACTGGACTTGGCACTTTCTTCTTGCAGAACGCAGACTTTTCTCCACTGAGCAATCGACCTCCCCCCAAACTTCTCTGTTGTGAACAGCTGTCAGGCAGGAGCTCTGCAGGTCAATCACTGGGGCACCAGGGTTTCTGCTTTTGCTTTGTAGCAGTTTCCTTGAGTGTCTTCAACTTATGCCAAGAGATCGGGGTGTGCTTGGATGAGCACTTTGAACTGGCAAGTGTGTATTTTGTCCTGAGTGTACCCATTGGGAATTTGCAGGAAGATCTGATGTAACCATTCTTAATTTACAAAAGTTCTGCAAACCAACAGCTTTTGGTTCAATCTTTGTGGAAAGGATATATGATGTTTTCATTTGCATAAAAGCATTTAGTGAATAAGAACAGTATTGGTAATTGTTTCAAAACCTGGTGTTCACCTTCTATAGCAAAATTTCATTATTTATTGGAAGGATTTCAAATAAATAAAAAGCTGGTAGCTTCTCAGCAAGGATTAATTTTGGACTTAAGTGTGTGGTCTTGGACAAAATGCGTATCTGTGGTCCAATCTAGGGAACACTGAGAGTTTTAATTCTGTGATGGGCAAGAAATTGTGTGGACTCTCACAAAGGTATAGCACCTAGATAGTTTGAATGAAGCTGTGGTAGCTAAACAAGTTTAAAATCGTTGGGCACATCTACACAAAGATCTGAACTGAAAACAACACAATTTAATGCAGTACAGTGGTACCTCTGGATACGAACGGGATCCGTTCTGGAGCCCCGTTCGCATCCTGAAGTGAACGCAACCTGTGTATGTGTGGGTCGCGATTCGCCGCTTCTGCGCATGCACATGACATCATTTTGATTGTCTGCGCATGCGCAAGTGACGAAACCTGGAAGTAACAAGTTCCATTACTTTCGGGTCGCCGCAGAGCGCAACCTGAAAACGCTCAGCCTGAAGCAACTTCAACCCGAGGTATGACTGTATACAGAAAACTAGCTTATCAACTATGTTTGTATTCTTCTGATTCATCTAACTATACTTTTAGTTGTGAATTACTCTGCTTTCTATTGAACAGCCCTACTTGGCTAGGATAGGTCTGTGAATGGTAATAATGCCTAGATCGAGAGGTATGTATGTGGTTGTACGCAGGAAGCTTTAACTGTTGTGTGCCAAGTTAAAAACGTTGCTTCTATAGCTCAATGCACTTTTGCACCTGCTGCACTCGCCCCTGACATGTCATCCTTGGAAGGTCCCCCATGAGGGGTTTGTGACCCTCAGACTAAAAAGAAAAGGTCTCCCATCCCTAATACATAACAATGAAATGAAAGTAATAAATGAGCAAATAAATTATGGATAGAAAGCATTGCAAATAAGGTGCTGCCAGACATTCAGGCAAATTACAACGGTTTTATTGTTGCCTAAAAGATAGTGATATAAGCTTTGGAACTGTGCTTGGGAAGGGAGTTCTAAGTCTGGGTGCCACGACAGGAAAGGAACTGTCCCCAGAAGCCACCCACCACATCTCCGAAGAAGGGGAGAGGTATTCGGAGCAGGGCCTAAGCCAAGAATCGCTGCACATAGGCAAGTTCATGGGGGGTTTCATACACCTCATCCCAGACCTACAGTTGAGTGGCAAAAAAACCCCAGCAATTAGAATTGTGCCCAGAAGCAAACTAGTAGTCAGTTGTGCAGATCTTGAAGCACTGTACAGTATGTAAATGCAATAACCAAAACCAGTCAAAATTACAGTAGATACTTATCTTCTATTGACTTCAACGTGGTTTGGAGGAAATCTTTTACTGCACATCATAACAAGTGATTACATTCATTTCTACATTTTGGGTTGAATCCTGTGATTGAACTGCACTCACAGGATGTTCCCCAGGAGTCTATTTTCCCCTGCAGCCTTCCCTAAAGCTGCTTCAGATAACTGAGGAAACCCCGGAAAAGAACGAGAGGTGAAATGGGAGCCTGGAAGGATTAGATGAAAAGTGAACAGTGAACCGAAGGAACCCTTCCATTTTCAGATGGGACACACTGGACCCAATCCTGTAACATAAGGATCTTTTCATCTAGAAAACTCACCAGCAACAACCTCTAATGATGATACGTAACATTTTGCAGCGAAGGTGATAGAATCTCTCAGTATTAGATTTGGTATTCCTCACCAGTTAAGAGACATTTACTATGAAGAAAAATAGCCAAATTGCATGGCACAATTGGACATAATTCCATCTAGCAAAACCCCTGTAACAACACACACACACACACACACACACACACACACACACACGTGTGTAAATCCACATACTTTGGTCATTAGCAACAATACGCAATGAAAATTCTAAATGTATTTCTCTCTTTACTGTTCACAAATATAAGGCATTGTAAGGATGCCTCTCCTATAAGTTCCTTCTGTGGCATATACAGATATATACACCTTAGCCATCTTTGGAAATGCCTACTGAAGAATCAATATCACTTAGATCATAATTGCCTAAAGTGGCTCTTTAAAAATAATAATATTTCCAACAATATACCAGAAATCTGTTTGAGAAAAATGGCACATGTTACCTTCTCCCATGACATTCCCCCAAAAATGCCTTCCATGCCCTACTAATGTGCAGGTGTCAGCAGTGTTAAATCTTCTTAGATTAGTAGTAGCATAGTTGCCAGGGATGTTGCAGATGTGTCTTTTGGCATTGCTATATCGTCTCTTATTTCAATATCTATTCTTATGCTGATAGGAGTAGGTAGGATTGCGACTGTCACACCAGCTGTAACCCTGATGTAGGGGCTGCTGGCATAAGTGGATCATACGACTGTACTATAAGGCCCAGAATTCCCCCTGTAAACTTGAAGCCTTTATATATATATTTTCAGTTATTCGTCTCTTGAGAACAGACAACATTTTCTAATGAGGTCTGAAACTATTGGTTGAATCCATACAAAATTAGTTGCACATAAATAAACCACCACATTATGTTCATTAATATTTTTAGAGATTTAGTATTGCAATGTTTGGTCATGTATAAAAATAGCAAGATCATTAGAAATGCTTCCTTAACAGCATTTATTAGCCTTTAGATTAAGATATGTTGTTTTTGTTCTGGTACAGTCACATAGTAAAAAAAACAAAAACTGGTTGACAGTGGCAATGAATTATTAAACTGTAACATACTGAATCTATTATTTACATAGAAAAAATATAGTTGTCTTGGAATACTTGAGTTTAAGCCAGTTTGGGCTCACTAGCTTTGCAGCAGGTTGCTGGTTCTGCAGAGATATTTATGGAATATGATGAGGAAGCAGTACATTAAGGGTCTGAAACTGTTGCTCTCCAACTCTACAAATCTGGTTTTCGCCTGTTGGTGGCCGAGGCATTGTTTTGTGATAAGGCAATAGTGGAATGCCTTTGAAGTCAATTTGGCAAAATAAGCTTACACTCCGCTTCTGACCTAACAGAGGTTAATGGATGAGGCTGTCACATTATTTGCTACCAAAAAATTGAATTGTTCCCTGTACGTTTAGAATTTATCAGGAGAGATACATTAGGGTGCCTTTGGAAGAGATGTTTTCTCAAGGAAAAAATTTTTAAACATGAGACATAGCAGTTGTTTTTAAAATTGCACTCAGATACTGGAGAAAAGTGTCAATATTGAGAAGTTACTAATTCATGGCACAAAGACTTTGGGTCTCATCATCATTCTGACCTTTTTGAAAGGTTGTCTGTAACCATTTAGACTATTATCCGAAGCTGTAGGCCAGGTGCCCCAGAAAATCCCATTGCGAACACCTTTGTATTTTTTGTGATAATATACGCCATTGAGATTAGCCGCCAAGCATGCGTCAAACCACCACCCAGAGCTATAGTACGCTCCACAGTTTCCTGATGGATACCTGTCGTTGTCTCTGTCTGGGGTAGTGAAGAACCTTTGGTCATGGTTGTAATGTTTGCTGAATTGCAGGGCGTTCCCAGCTGTGCCACTGTAGCTGCCAATACTTAAGCGGTATTTGAGAAATTCATTGGTCACATAAAATTGTTCGTATTTTGCATATTCTTTGACTCCGTTGAAATCCTCAAGTTCAATCCTGAGCTGCATCTCCTTGCTTTTGGTCAGAAGGTGAATTTTGTCATTCCCTAGCCAGAATTCTCTACTCAGGTTTCCGAAACCATTCTTGTATTCTTTCCATGTTCTGTTGAAGCTGGTGCTGCCATCTTGACGCATTTGGAACACTGTCCAGCCGCCTCCCATAGATTCCATCTCACAGTAAACATCAAAGCTGTCATGTCTTGGATCAGGAGTAATTCTGTAGATTCCATTACGCAGTTTGCCTGCTGCGTAAAAATTGGAACAGTCTCCTTGCAGAATCTGTATAACTGGACAGAGAAAGGGGGTTGAGGAATTTAGCCGCATTATTTACAACCCATTTTAAACTTGTATAGCATAATAGAAAGTAATCTGAATCCATAATGGAATATACACTTTTAGTCACCTTTCCATTTGGGTGCAGTGTGTATGGATGTAGAATAAACGATGCACATAGTTCAATGATATCAGAGAACAGCTTTTTTCTGTGCTTCTGCAAGTCATTGCAATAATAATAATAATATCAGTAATGTAGGAAATGACCCTTGAAGAAAACAGGGGAATCATCTGCTGGCACTAGTTTAAATTTAATATGTGGTTAGAGCTGGATTTGATGACACTTGATAACTTTTGCAATTCCAGTTCTATCTCTTATAGAAGACTTTTTGCTGATGTAAATTGCTGCCTCAGCCTCTCCTTATTTGGGCAGGGGGAGGACTGGGAATAGTAATTTCTTGACAAGGGTATGTTGTGTCTTCTGCTGTTGCCCACAACTGGCTTGGATTTTTGTTTGCTTGTTCCCACGTGAGCTATCATTTCATATCATGTACACAACTGATCCTTGTGGGGTCACAAGCCTGTTCTGGTCAAAGGGGAGGGGGAAGCAATAGGGGGCCTCCAGACAAAGAAACCTCCATTACTGGTTCTATTTAATGAACTAACTTAGAGGACCATCAGAGGCATAGCTTTTATATTATTCCATTGCTTTGTGTGAAAACTCTCACTTTTTCTTCACCGAATGTTTTATGTTGCATTCCTCAGTGTGCAATAGAACTATCAACATAATTTTTGTGTAACAATTATCTTGAGACAGTTGACAATTTGACCTAGGGTCAAACGCCGAGTCCCCACTTGACATTTGTTAACTTTTGCATTAACCACTGTCTTTTTACACTTATGGAGAGCAGGATAGATTTATTTCTTACAATATTGGCCTAAAGTGCTGGTGTCACCTGTTGTTTTTCCTAGCTATTTGCAGGCTATCGTGTACAATTGACACTGACACTCAGAAAGATGTCGTTTAAGAGCATGACGGTGGTTTCCTGTAAACGTGTTATTATGCAACCTCTGGATTTTAGAGTGGAAATGAATTTGGACAGTATACTAAGCAGGAATGCAACACTTTATGATATAAAGTATTTCTTCCAGGTGTTTCCTGAAGATTATGGCCCATTTTATTTCCCAAGCCAGTTATAATAAAAGCCTAACAAACTTTACAAATGAAATGCTCTTACATTTTTTTCCAGGAAATTAATGACACAGCAGCATTCAATTAATATCATTTGGAATGAGGAAATAAGTTTTCTGAGTTATGTTGATTCTTATTATAAATTATTTTGGGAGGGGAAATATTTGTCACCCAAATATGTTGGAGGGCAGCAAAGAGACAAGTGAAGCTATTGAGAGAGTTTGAAGTTTTCATAATCAGGCATCAGTATTGATTATTGGGCAGTGATGCAGTCTTTCATAAAGGAAGAGGACTCAAGTTTACTTTAAGAGGTGCATAGATGCTCCCAGCAGGTCTGCTCCTTGTACCCACCCCCATATGAATATGTGTAAACTATCATTCTAATACATCTAATAGATACAATGTACTCTGATTCATTTATACTGTTGTTGCTTTAGAGAAATCCATTTCCAGAACATTTGGAAACCAAGGCACGGCTTCCAATTGCGCAGGCACGTCAGAAACAATAGCGGAAGCCACATCAGACATTCAGCTTCCAAAAAAAGTTAGAAAACCGGAACACTCACCTCTGGGTTTTGATCATTTGGGAGCCGAAACATACTAGTACCAAGGCGTTTGACAACCAAGGTGCGACTGTATTAGAATGTAGTGAATTTTAATGTACTTTCACATACACTCATGATCCAGCTCCACCTGATGTGGATGCTAGGAGAAGTCATAACAGATTCAGTAGTGCGTATGGATCACCCACCTGGGGAACACTGTGCTGTATCTAACACAGTTGTTTCATTAGTGCAAGGACTTTTAACCATACAACAATACTTCCTCTCCCTCTCTTCTCTCAGTGTGTTCCCCACACCTCCCACCCAACCTGTTATGGAGGTTCTGCAGAAACAAGAGGGGGAGAGGAAGTCCTCGCACTAATGGGATGACTTGTTGGATACAGCCCATCATTGTGTAGTTTTGCTTCTCTGGCAATCCATATTGCTTTGGGTCCTTCTCAAGCAATCCAAGACTACGACATGTTGTCCGTTGTCACGGACTGGCTGGGTGCAGAGGAGTGGTGGAAGGCAGCAGCTGGGGAACCCCCGATTGAAGAAGGCTCAGAGCCTGGGGAGAAGTGATGGGATGGTGACAAGTGGTCAGAGGGAGAAGAGGGAAAGGACTGGGAGGAGGAGGTGTTGGAAGCTGAAGGGATAACAAGGTTTAGTGAGTGGAAGGAGGTGGTGGCAGAGAGCAGTCCAGAATCAGAGGGAGAAGTGGAGGCTGGAGGAGAGGGGAGCCAAGAGGCAGAGATCAGGCAGGCTGCTTCCCCTTGCTGCTGCAAGCCTATTCAGGGATAGAGATTTAAAATAGCCTATTCTGGAAGAGAGATTATATATGTTCCACTCACTGCTCACGTTTATCCAAACGAGCCTCAGCATTCTTTTTTTCAACATTCAGAATGTCACAGACTGCTGTGCTGAGGGATAAATACGCTTAAGAAGGCTAAGGAAACATCAAAACGCACACTGTGGAATGTGAATAGTTTTGATTTATTTCCTCCCAAAATATAACCATTAAGCTTAAAGGCCCAAAGGAGCCACGTACCAGAATGAACTTGAAGGTGAAGTAGGCATCATTCAAAATTCTACTTCACAATGAACTTAATTCGCATTCAGTTCACTCAGCAATTATGGGAACTACTTTTAAGTGCAGTTCAGAGAATGTTGAATGACTTCAGAGAACTTTTTTTTTAAAAGAACGGATTCCAAGCACTGTTTTCTAGCAAGAGCTATGAATTACAAAATGATTTCTTGTTATTGTAACAGGATAATGCTCTTTTAAGTGCAACCACTAAAAATAGATGGGTTGGGAAAAGTAATAGTCAAAATGATATTTCATGTAACATTGTTTATTTCATGTAACATTGCCAAGATTCCACTCTAAGTATATCACATGCTGTTCATTTGGGATATATTAGTGTTGCTCAGATTTACACATGTGCAGCTGTAAAACATAATCATTTTGTCATCCATCTGTAAGACTACACCTTCCTCTGTGTTCCCAAATGTATGTAATATGGCAAGTTATTTATTAACATTTTGAAGTGTAATTCAAAATAATATTCAAAGGGAGATTTTTGAGTTTCTTCGTTTTTGTTTTTAAAATTTTTGTAACTGTAAGCTTTAAGTCACACCAATATAAAACATTTGATGCTTCCATTAGGAAGTGGTATGAAGAAAAGCTAAGCACACAGCAGTAAAAAAGTGTAGACAAAACATTGTTCAGATGTCCACACTCCAGGATAAATGGAATTCATTTTTAAAAATCTCAATATAACCATTACTTCCTTGGTACTGTATGAGAAATCAGTTTCTTCCATTCTTTCTACCTGAACAGAAGTGATAAAAGTAAAAGGGTGTCCTTATTTCACCAGTGCAAGCTCCTCTGAGTTTCGACAGCTACCCACGTGTAACATTGGAAAATGCCCTTTAACAGCCCGATTTTTCTGTACTTTAACAGGGCCAAATCCTTAAAGATTCTGGCCTGAATCCAGGTCTGTCCACAGGCAAAATAGTTGTGCATAACAACTGGTAGCTGCAAATAGGGACACACATCCCCCTGCAGCTCAGAGGATGCAGCCAGCCAACCCACTGAGATGCTGATGGACATTGCAGTGTGGTTTCTGATGTGCACCCCCCACCTGTTACATCCGTGGAAAGTTGAGATGCGCACTCTTCTTCTCATAAGCTTTTTTCTTGTGCTCAGTAAAGGAACGTAAGAATTTGCCTGTAACTAACTGCTGCGTCAAATGCTGACAAAAATAAAGTGTGTGGGGGGTGTTCAAAATCCTTTTAGCAGGAAAAGAAAAACCCATTATGAAGTTCAGAGGTGCTATATTCTCATCCGTTTCAGTAACTTCCCTCACAGCTAAGCTAAAAGTCTTCTTGGCCCAACGAGATGGTTATACAGTGGTACCTCGGGTTAAGTACTTAATTTGTTCCGGAGGTCCGTTCTTAACCTGAAACTGTTCTTAACCTGAAGCACCACTTTAGCTAATGGGGCCTCCCGCTGCTGCCGCGCCCCTGGAGCACGATTTCTGTACTCATCCTGAAGCAAAGTTCTTAACCTGAAGCTATTTCTGGGTTAGCGGAGTCTGTAACCTGAAGCATATATAACCTGAAGCGTATGTAACCCGAGGTACCACTGTATTTTATTGTGTTTCACTAAATACTACAACAAAACAACAACTACTACTACTACTAATAATAATAATAATAATAATAATTTATTATTTATACCCCACCCATCTGGCTGGGTTCCCCCAGCCACTCTGGGCAGCTCCCAACCGAATATTAAAAACACAATACAACATTATTGAATCCTACTTTTGAATCCTAACACATTGAATCCTACTTTTATCTATTATTTCCCCCCTAATATCCAGATATGCCCTAATTGTAAAGTAATATGAATCAAGTAACGCCTGGTATTTTTACTTTTTTGGTAGGTGGCAAAAAGTTAATAGATGTATGTAAGGAAATGCTGTTCTGATCCTTTTAGTAAAATAGTAAAAGCTCACCTACCTGGTTGTGGTTGTGTGGCTGGGCAGTTTGAAGAGCATTTATTATCCAGATTGTTCACAGCAAATGTCAAATTGGCTACTTTGCTGTCCACATAGCTTTCCACGTTGTTCATGTTTATGAGGTTCATGTGCTCCAGCTGATTCTGTAAAGAATGGATTTGGTTCTTTGCATTCTTCAGACTGGCTGACAGCCTGGAAACCTTGTTCTGCAACTCTTTTACTCTGTTATCTTGTATTTTGCTGTTGTCGACTGGAGCGTCTGTGCCAGGTGGCAGGAATTCGTTGCTGTCTTTTCTAGATTCTCATCTGCCTGCAGCTTGCAGTCTTCGCAGGACTTCTTCATCTTGTTTACCACTTCCTTCAGGTTCTGCACTTCTTTGAGCGTTCTCTCAATCAGCCGAAACTGCTTGGGCAGCTGGATGGTCATTGGAGGCAAGGTTATCCGATACGGGCATTCCTCTCCATCACATTCCCCGCTGCTTTTGAGCTTTATTGGACAAGCACCAATCAGTTCTTCTCTGGCGCTGTCAGTGCTATCATCTGTCGCTGCAGAGCCATTTGTAAATAGCAGCAGAGCTGTCTGGAGCAAAATCCTGTAAACGAGCTTCATCTTTTCTGAGGAGCTGCTAGCCCAGTGAGGAAGTGTGCAAAGTTTCAGGGACTTTTATAAAGAGCAGCTAACTGCTGCCTCTGACTTATCAGAGAGGCTGCCTGCACTGTTCTCGGAAAAGGGTGGGAGTTGATTGCATCACAGCAAGCTGCAGTGATATTAATAGAAAAGTAGGTAGCTATGGGGAATTTACCCAGACTTGCACAAAATGTTATCTCCGGCACCTGTCTGCATAATCAAACACAGAGATACTTATACCCAGGTATTCATTTTAGAATAATAAATATATACACAACACAACAAATACAACATTTCAAAAACAAATGTATGTTTTTTATCATGCTAGTGTTGGGTATGCTTTTCATTAAAAAAAAACCCAACTAGCAATGAAATTGTATGTGTTCATTGTTAGCATATAAACAGTACTAGGGTAGACTTCAGCCAACAGTCTCAGGGTGTGCTTAGTGGACAACCTTAGGGTTTCTTGGAAGCTCAGCATAAGTTCTTCTGCAAGAAAATTTGTAATGGCAGCTTTTCCACTGTCAGTCTCCTGTCATGCAAAGCTATGTATGAATGTTTGGTATATTCTGTGATGCATTCATGTGAGGCAACAAGAAGCCTGACCAAACACTCCGCATGAAGCAAGGCTGCACTCTGGAACAGTCCGCGGAATCCTCTGCAGTGAATTCTGGGAGAAATGTGCAAAGGTTTTCTAGCAAATAAAATGATGTAGAAAGTCTTCTTTGAGCATTCTCAAAACTTCCATATTTTGATCAGGGGGAAACTGGTATGTCCTCTGTACCGAATTATTTTGGGAGTCTGGTATTGACACCCACAGTGATTCTGCAGAGGTGTCTGCCCCTTTTGTGTTTGAGGCTGTGCCAACTCTCCACAAACTAATGCCCCCCATATATTTTGGACTACTTCACTGAGAATTGGCCATGCTTGCTTGGGCTGATGAGAGTAGGTTGGGAAAGACTGCTACATGCCATTTTTGACATACAGAGTGACACCACCCCTGTGCGCCCCTCCCCCCAAATTTTTAATCTATATCAGATTGACGAGAACCCGCTCGTCATCCGTAATAATCAGTCTCACGCAGAGATGGGTTGAAGAAATCTGGCTGCTCTAGAGCTGCTGCAGCACAGCATTTATTGTGTATAGTCAGAAAGATACAAAATACAAGGAATGCAACTTGTTCTCAGCCAGCAGATAAGGACAATGCCGTGCCATCACACCAGACCACGCAGTCGATCAGGCTATGTTACGTGGACCAATCATTTGGGACAGCACGAGCTATCTACGCGCTGTTCATGCTCCAAGGATGCTTTTAGCTATGAAATCACCCTTCAATAATAAACTTTCGCCCATGCTCTTATGTATAAACAATCATTTTCCCACATCAGATAAGACTGACTTGAAGTAAATGTTTTTTATTTGAGTTGAACCTATTTCCAAGTAAGCATGTTCAGGGTTGCAACCACAGGATCACTTCACACATTATAGGTATAGAACAGGGGTCGGCAACCCGCGGCTCCGGAGCTGCATGTGGCTCTTTTACACCTTTGCCGCAGCTCCGGGGCGGATACTAGCCAGGGGAGGAGGCGCATTGTGCGCCCCGACACTCCCCACTGTGGCGGGCGCTGTACTGGCTGTGACATCGCATGGAGGCAGCGTGCGTTAGTCACACACCGTCCCGACGTCACCTTCCCGCCCGCCCGCCCGCTACATTGTAAGGGGGCATGTACGCTGGTCACTGTTTTGAAGGGGAGTGAAGAACACACACACACAAAAAGGTAACTTGTTAATTTAACATTTATTTCTATGAGGAGGAGTAATTGTGAGGGGTCAAACAAAGAAATAATAAAAAGAAGTGACAAAAAAGTTATTTTTATAATGACGAGTTTTGCGGCTCCCAGTTTTTTTCCCTTCGGAAACTGGTCCAAGTGGCTCTTTTTGTCTTAAAGGTTGCAGACCCCTGGTATAGAATCTTTGTATCACTGACCCATTTTGTATGCATGCAAAATCTGAAGCATTTGACTAGTTACACATATGGGTAGCTCAGTTGGTTAGCATGTGGTGCTGATAACGCCAAGGTTGCAGGTTCGATCTCCATATGGGACAGCTGCATATTCCTGCATGGCAGGGGTTGGACCAGATTAGGCTTCCTCAGCCTCGGCCCTCCAGATGCTTTTGGGACTACAACTCCCATGATCCCTAGCTAGCAGGACCAGTAGTCAGGGATGGTGGGGGTTGTAGTCTCAAAACATCTGGAGGGCCGAGGTTGAGGAAGCCTGGACTAGATCATCCCTGGGCTCCCTTCCAATTCTACAATTCTGTCGCTCTATAGGATATTCTGTGGGCATATGACTTGTGGAATGAATCCATTACGCTGGTCTTTAATCTTTCCCTGCTAAAACTATCAACATTAGAAGTAGCCTTTTGAGAGCTTCTCACAATGAATAATATTTCCTCCTCCTCCATCATTGTGGAGGTCATTCACTTCCCCCTGTGAAGCAACATTTCAGGAAATATTGTGAAAATGTTACGCTGTTGCTTGTCTATGTACCCTCCATGCCGCTTCCTGGGCAAAGGACACAGGAATTCTCATTTCACCAGGTCTCTAGGAGACCCCTTCTCCAATGTAAAGATACAAATCGTTCCTACCTCAGACCAACCGATTCTTCACAAATGGTGATTGCTGCCGAATCTTACTGTAGAATGTGCTGTTCACAAAGAGGATACTGTCTCCTGATCTTTTGACAGTGGAAAAAATTATTGGCCTCTCTGAATGACCATCTAGAACAGAAGTTCCCTGTCTCCTAAGTTCTTCCTGCAATCTTGGTTAAGGAACTTCTTCCTTCAAGTTTCCTTAGATACACTTTCCTATCGGAAGAGCAGAAACAGATTTCAATCTCAGATCCCTGGATTTATTTTTTCACTGAGGCAAGCAAAGTACTGCAATAAAATGTGTTTTCAAGTGCAATGGCTATTTCCTGCTCACTGCCAACTACATTTTATCTCCAAGGCCTCAGTACTAAGTGATAATTAGATGCTTTTCTGTTGGCTAGCTCTCTTTGCTTGTCCTTGATCCTTGATCACTGATTTTTTATTTTACTGGAGAAAGTGTCAGCCCAATATTGTACATTTTTCAGTCAGAAGTGGAGTTCAAAAGGTGCCCCATCACGATTCTTGCTATACCCCGGGGCAGATCTACTATGAAACTAATGAAGCTTAAGCTTCAGGGTCCATAATCCTGGAGGGGCCCCAGAAGCGACTTTAGTTCACATTGCTTTAAAATGTTGGGTCTAGGAGACCCAATTTGATTTGCATGAGTCAATTTGATATTTTTTGTTATTGTCTGTATTTCAAGAATACCAACAGTAGCACAGATGTTGTAAAGGTGTGGTGATCTGTCGTGGAACAACTTCACTGAAGCAGTGTGGTTACCCAGGTCTCGTTGCTGGTTGCAAAAATGTAGGTCCGCCACTGAGTGTACCACTCGGATACAAATTCCTGCCTTCATCCTTTACCCCGACCTCCATTGTGCTCCCTGAAGGATGGCCTCTGAATGGAGACAACAAGAAAGTGGGGGACAGAGAATGAGAAAAAATCCGGCAGGTTAAAGGAAAGGAAAGTTTGGCTGAAATTTGCAGGAATGAGGGTGGAGGGCAAGAGGAGTCTTCCTATTTTTCATTTGTTAAACTTTGGAAGGTATGCAGATTGAGAGGTGGAGAAAGCTGATGAAATGAAAGCTTATTTTTTAATTAGTGAATAAAAATACAAAGGTGTCACCCAGAGAGGCACATTTGAATCATATTTTGTAATTCTTTCAAAGATAAGAACTGCCACCTGAGTTGCCTTTGTTACAATGTGTAATACAATGTATTGCTAAATACAAAACCTGGGGGTTGAGTGCATCTGTGAAGGGAAGAGAGTCAAAACTAATGAGAGGATAAGTCAAGGAGAGGATAAGTTATTCTCTTTTTGCAACTGTATTACAATCTTCTTAGTTTTAACCTTAACATCATTTCTAGGCAATTCCAGTTCCCGAATCAGTTCACACAGTGCAGAATAGTTCCCTGAATCAGTAGTGCCACAGGATGTTGTAACACCCAAATTTCATGGCATTTAGATCGTGTTACTACTCAAACCTGTGTAAAGGAAATGGTACTTTTGCCTAGTTTTCTTAAAAAGGAAAACAAGTGAGTCAGACTCAGATTCACTGTGTGTGTGTGTGTCCCAATACAGTTGGTCAGATGGCACACATTTTGGAAAATGGCACATTGCAAGCTTTGGGTATCTTGTGATGGTGACTTATGTCCCTGGTATGTAGTGTTGCAATACATGTTTTAAAACTTTTGAATTGCAAAACTATACATTCCTGACAAAAGGCCACATTCTGCATTTCGTACTCAAACAGGAATTTATCATCATTTTAATGGTTCCTGTACCTTTGCCATGTACCTTTATGCAGCCACGTATATTTTGCACAGTAGTTACCGCAAATCTGAATAAAATCAAAGTGATACAGTACCTGTTTGTGCTTGCTTCGACTGGTAACCTCTATTAAAACTGCTAGCTAAGGTCTGGTGCCAGTTTAAACTTTCCTGTAACAACATTTATTTGTTAGCAGCGCTGGTTTATGTTGGGTAAGAAGGAAATAAAATAATTATTCACGTAGAAAACCATCTGGGGTGGGGTGGCTTTCCAGTTTATTGCATAGAACGCCATATATATATATATATATATATATATATATATATATATATACACACACACACACACACACACACACACCCTCGGAACAAGTTAATTCCATTGAGGCCAAAGTGGCTGACCTAGAGAAGCTGAGATGAGATTGGCTGGTGGGTGTGATAGCTGCATCCCACTCTCGGGATGACAGCTCTCCTGTTCCCACGGCAACAGAGGGCCTCAGTCTAAGGAAGGAGGAAACGTTCCCTTTGATTGAGAATGAATTCAAGGAGGCATCCAAAAAGAGGGCGTGATGTAGGTGACTTCAGTTACCCTCACATAGACCAGGTACATCTATATTCTGTGAGTCTATGATTCTGTGTCCCAATCACAACAAAGAAGTACAATTTCTAGATACCCTAAACAGTTACCCTAGATCAGTTTGTCATGGAGCTGACCAGAGGGACAGTGACCCTGAACTTAAGTGGTGCCAATGAACTGGTGCAAGATGTAAAGGTTTATTAACTGATTTGGAACGGTGACCACAGCGCTATCAGATTCAATATATATGTAAATAGACAATTGCCAAGAAAATCCAACCCCATCACATTTGACTTCAAAAGAGGAAATTTCCCAAAGATGAGGAAATTGGTTAAAAAGGAAGTTGAAAGGAAAAGTCAGGAAGGTCAAATCTCTCCAAAAGGCTTTAAAGTTGTTTAAAACCACAATATTAGAAGCTCTGCTAGAATGTATGTCACAGATCAGGAAGGGTAAAACCAGGGTCATGAGGATGCAAATGTGGTGGATGAGCAGAATCTAAACAGCTATTGGAGTCAATAAGGTTTCCTTTAGAAAGCGGAAGGTTTTCCACTGGAAGAATGAGGAACAGAGACAAATAGTGGTGGCATGAGTTGAAGTTCTTATTGACAAAATGAAAAATGATAACTTGCCATGTCTGGATGAGATTGACCTGGAAGATCTTAAAGAATTCCAATATGAAATTGCTGATCTTCTATCAGAAATATGTAACTTGTGCCTAAGATCAGCCACCATACTTGAAAACAGGAAAGCAGCCAATATTACATCAATTTTCAAAAAGAAATTCAGAGGGGATCCTAGAAAATACATACTGGTCTAATTTGAATATCTTGGAAATAAATTTCACAAATGGAAGAGCAAATTCTCACATGCTTCCATGACAAGGGGGAAACTGCGCTGGAATTGAAATTTAAGAATTTTGTATTTTAAAATGGTAGCTAATAGTACTTGAGTGTTGAAAATGATATAAAATTCCTTCCAAGAGGATTAGCTCAATATTGAGATCTCAGCAATGAGAACCTAATTTTTTATATACTGAAGCTTTATACCACAAGTTGTGAAACAAATCACCCCAGGCATGTAATCACTTCTGAGTATTGCTAGATACAGTGAAAAGTTTCAATTTGTTTTCACGTTAGATAAAAGTGTTGCCTGATTGTTTTCATAATAATTATTCAAGTAAATTCATAATTGTCACTCTTACATTTCTTAGTTGTTTTATGATGGAAAAATCCCTGGAACCAGAATGGCTGAACTGAAGGCAAAGTATACTGTTCTGCATGATACTCTAGTGAGGTAGGCTTTGTAGACCTTTCTGTATGTAATGTGAGTACTTATTTCTAGTGATTAAATATTTGTGCTAATTATGTGTTTGTAACTCAGCAAGAAAAATAAAAAATATATATACTGAGAAAAATTGTTCAAATTAAAAGATAGGAGGGGGGAACAAAGAGTGTTTTTCTGTTCACTATTTCTAGCACCATTCCAAAGTTAGGTCTTCTGGAAAAGCCAGGAAACACAGTGTTTGGTGGTTGTGCCCGGTTATTAAACTGTTCTCAATGAATGTCAAATTCTTACAGAAATGCTCCATATATATTTATGTAAATATTTGAACAGCATCGAAGATTATTTTTTTCACCCAAGCACTAGTTTTGTTGAATCATTGACCTCAAGGCTAAGTGTTTCAAGGTTGTAAAAGACAGTCAGACAACAGTTTCCTGCTTTCAGATATTATTTCATTAAAATTTTAATATTGTAAGCATGGAAATAATACTCTATTGAATGCATACACAGGAGAAAGAGTACAAAGCAAAGATTTATCTCAGCATTTGATTCCCAATTTTGGCCATGCAGTAAATAATAAGAAATCTGTTCCTCCTTTTTCCCTATTGGTTGTCTTTCCCTACTTTCAAAACTTACATTCTTAGATGAATAGAGCAATAATCTAATCTGACTTCTTTGCCTTTGTCACTTACCATAGATATATGGTGCTCCAAAGATATGAAATAATATTTGTGATTTGCAATAACTTTCAATTATAGTAGTTGAAGGTTTGTTTCATAAATATGTGTTTTATCCCAACATCGCTGTTTTGCTTCAGCTTACAGGAAGCAGAGATTCAGCTGCTACAGGATGCCAAACGTTTCACAGTCGAAATAGAACAGCAAGAGCAGATACTAGAAACTACTGATCAGTTTCCAGAGGGATATTCTTCAGAGGTCACCAAACTGAGACAGCAGTACCTGAGATATGTCAATGAATACAATGCGATTCAGGAGAGGGAGTATGAAATTCAGTACAAGTTGAACAGGTAGATAATATTGGAGTGGCTATCTGCAATACGAACTATGTACCAAGGAGTAATGACTGTCACTTATCCAGTTGATTGATGAATGGGGAACCCTTGGTTTGCGTAGGCTAGGGCAGGGAGAGTGGAGCTGCATGGAGCCACTGGACTTTAACTGCCTGGTGAGGACACGAAAAGTGGATGCATCAGATAAGGCAGTCAGCTGAAGTTAGGGCTAAACTACATGTTACACTTAGTATGTAGCATGCAGATATGTCTCATGTTTTCCTTAAATTAATTACAGGTGTGGAGGGCAATTGTTACTGGGATAAATTCCATACCCACCCCCTGCATGGCTGTGAGGTTTGGGGAAAATGTTTGCATGGGGGCTACTGGGAACTTTTTTCTAAGCCTTGTAGCCACAAAGGAAGTGGGTTTTTTTGTGGGAGCATGACTTGGGCGGAAGGGATGTAACTCCCTTCCCTATGCACCAGAGTCCCAATAACATTTGCCCCCCACATTTGCAGCTAATTAAAGAGGTGGGGGAGACATGCGCATTAAGTGTAATGTATAATTTTGCTCTGAGACATCTGATGGGAGTTGGAGTCTAGCAACTGATTGAAGAGCCCGGGTTCCCCATCCCAGAGACAAAATGTTGGAAACTAGTTGTTGCAGATACGAATATTATGAGTGAGTAAATCCAAAATTGTGACACTTCAGTATTATTAAATTATTTTAACAAACCCAATACTTAGCCTTTCATTTTGGCCCCTTTTGTTTTCCTTAGCTGTATATTGAAGCATTTCAAGGGTACGTGCTTGCAAATAATTGATATTTAAATCACCTTATTGACATTATGAGTTGAATGATCTTTTATGCTGTTTTCCTCTAGCTTACGAGAAGACAAGAATCTCATCGAAAGGGAGTATAAAAGAATGCCAAAAGCTACTGTAAGTAAGATGTTCATGTTACCTGTGACGCCTAGTGTTGTGCCATTTGGCTGGATAAAAACAACAAAGCATAATGTAGCACCTTAAAGATGACCACCAACATTTGCTGTGTAAATTAGGCTATATTTTGTTCAGTCTTTTTGGTTTGAGCCACCATCTTGTGAGTAGTTAAGGGAGAAAAGTATTTTAAGTTCATACATCATGTAAAATATGGCACTTTATCCTATCTCCATTTCCATATTTGCCTGGGATAGTTTTGATAGCTATGCTTACCACTTTCCTTGACATTTCTTATTATTTCGAGATGTAAAATTCTGAACCATGTATAGCATTAGATGTGTACCAAGGTTAACCAGGGTTTGAAACCAGGGTGTACGGACTTTCTTTGCACTTTGTAGATTACAGGGAGCTGTAGGCATGCTGAGCCAAGCTACACAAGCTTGTTGGCTTCTGGAGAGGCGCTTATACCACTTTGTGCTTTTTGCTGCCATGTCACACCGAACTAAGCCAAGATTTGGCTTAGTATGTTATTGTTGGGAAACTTATAAATGTGGAGCTGCCCTGTGGTAGCTTGCATTGCTTCTATTCATTTGCATTTGGCTTTTTCAGTGAGAAAACAAGGTACAGCAGGGCAAACAATTTTGAAAGTGAAAGAAAACTACAAAACTTCAAGAAGAGCAAAAGCATTTACATGATCTTCCAAATAATCCAGCCAAATACCACCAAAGTTATAGTTTGTGATGAGTTTCATTTCAAATGTTTTGTCCCCTTCCCCCAAAAAACACGGTAGCACTTAACAGTAGCAGCAGTGACTGACTTCTTTGCTACTGCCTGTGCCTTAGCCTTCAGGAGACCTGCTCCATATGTCCCTAATCTAAAACATATCCCTAAAAACCCAGAGGTGGAGATCTACCAATCCCATCCAATTTAAGGTGGTTGCTGATGAACTGAATGGGTTGGGTTGCGAGCGACAGGACGGAGGCAGGAGAGCAAAGAACTCTGGGAGACAGGCGCAGTCCCCTCCCTTTTTATTCCTGACCCTAATGAGGGACTGCCACAAAACAAATCTACAACACAACTGAGAGATTTTGTAATAAGGAAGCTAAGTGGGCAGTAATATTGCAGGTCAAATAACATGCATGCCCCTAAAATACTATTTTAACATGCATTCTAGAATAACCATGTTTTAATGTTTTGCTAATTCGTGCATTCCACTTTCCAAACATGAAGTGACTAATTTTCGCTTTTCAAAGGATGCCGATAAGAGGATGAAGGCTCTGAGGGAAAGCTGTGAAGAGCTTCGTAAAGAAACTACACACAGGCGGCAAGAAATCAGAGCACTGAAAGATGATCTTTCTTTAAGACACAAGCGCCTTACTAAGGATCAGAAAGAACTCGAGGAACTATTTCGGAAGCAAGAAGAAATAAAAGTAATTCGAGAATAAATTCATTAGTCTGTGTAGCTGTGCACCACTGTGTGCTCCCAGTTGATACAACTTGAATATTAGTTCTGTACTTTTCCATAAAACCTCAGTCTGTGTAGACTAATGTTTATATTTTTATTACTAGGATGACCTTGTCCGTCTTCAAGCCATTCCTCTTCAGCTCGGAAAGGATATGGACAAAATAAACCGCAGAATGCAGTATGGGTTTCTTTCCTTAATGTTTTTTGTTTGCCCAGTATTATGTATATTTATTGACTTTCTACCCTTCCTCCCAAAGGAGCCCATATTGCTAGGCTAGCAGCCCAGTGGACAGTCCTATTAAGCCCGCTTCCATTTGCTTGAATTTAAGTCACCTGGCACTTAAACGTTGATCCTAAATATTTGTGTTGGTCTATTTGCTGGTGTAACAAGCATGACATCATGGTTTGTGATGCTGTGGTTACACAGCGGTAGGTTCTTCCCATCTTTCACATTGGTTTGTTGAACTGGGTCCTCTTCTTCTGGCTTCCACAACATTCATACAGTCATACCTCGGGATGAATACGCTTCAGGTTAGGCAAATTCGGGTTGCGCTCCGTGGCGACCCAGAAGTAATGGAGCACGTTACTTCTGGGTTTCACCGCGCGCGCATGCGCAGACTGTCAAAATGACGTCACTCGCATGCGCAGAAGCGCCGAAACGTGACCCGCACATGCGCAGACGCGTGGACACAGGTTGCGTTCACTTCAGGATGCGAACGGGGCTCCGGAACGGATCCCGTTCGCATCCCAAGCTACCACTGTAATCCAATCCTGACAAAATCATAGGCAATGGGGAACATGTGACCCTTCAACTGTTGTTGGACCTTAACTCCCATTAGTCCCTGCCAGCATGGCCAGTGGTTTGGTCTGGTGGGTATTATAACCCAACAATCTCTAGATGGCCACAGGTTCCTCATACCTGCCCTAGACTGAAGCTCTTGTTTTAGTGATAGCAGAGATATTCATCTCCATCAAATTGATAATGTAACATATTACATGGGTGCTCACTACAAGCACCTATATAGTGATGCTGTGCTGCATTACTGCCTCCTGCTGCTATGGAAAATGTTTCTTTTTTCTTTCTTTTTTGCTTTTTCTGAAGGCATGGCTTGTTTTATCTGGTGCTGTTATTACGTTGTGACTCTGCAGTTAGATGGTGAACAACTTTAAATCATACTTTTAAAAGCTACAGAAATAACATAGAGATTCTGATATTTCAGGAACATGATTATTTGAGATTGCATTTTATTTTCCTGCTACTTTATAGTTCTTTGGCCCTTGTTGCCATTAGCTTATCAAGCCTCAAAGCCCTTAAAGGCTAGTATTTTGTGGATCTCCATCAGAGCTTTTGAGATGGACAAAAGGTCCTCAGGGTCCTGTAAAGCTAAACTGATGCACAGACATCTAAACATAACGTATGCTGTCAGCTACAACATCAAAGGCAGATGGAGCAAATTTGTTTTCTCATGCTCTGGAGGGCAGGACTTGAACGCATGGCTGCAAGTTTCAAGAAAGGAGATTCCAACTAAACATCAGGAATAACTTTGTGGCAGTAAGAGCTGTTTGACAGTGCAGCAGTCTCCCTCGCAAGATTGTGGACTCTCCTTCCTTGGAGATTTTTAAGCAGAGGTTGGATGGTCATCTGTCATGGATGCTTTAGCTAAGATTCTTACATTGCAAGGATTGGACTAAATGACCCTTGGAATGTATAATTTTTTTAATCAGTTTCTAAAAGAGAAGGAGCTGAGTTCTTATTGAAAAGGGTTTTTTTATAATAATAAAAATCATTTCCACCTGTCATATTAGGTACACCTTTTCATAGTAAGAAAGTAATTGGATTAAAAGTGTAAGTGTTTTATCAACACCTGGGTAGAAAATGTAAGGCCATCAAGTTTTTGCTCCTGATTTTATCAGAGCACAGATGAGTAACAACATGGAGCTGTTCAGACTTCCAAGGGACACTTGTGAGGGGGACATGAGCATCTTTGGGGGCAGGCACAAGGAGTGTGGTGGTTTGGCATAGTCTGTGGGTTCCTAGTGTTTGTTTTTAAAATAGTTACATCTCTAGCCCTTGTGAAAACTAATATATGATGTCAAATGTGGAGGCACTATTCTGTTAATTTGTTTTGTAAGAAACTAGCCCGTGGGTTAAACCACAGCGCCTAGGGCTTGCCGATCAGAAGGTCAGCAGTTCGAATCCCCGTGACGGGGTGAGCTCCCGTTGCTCGGTCCCTGCTCCTGCCAACCTAGCAGCTCGAAAGCACGTCAAAGGGCAAGTTGATAAATAGGTACCGCTCCGGCAGGAAGGTAAACGGCGTTTCCGTGTCCTGCTCTGGTTCACCAGAAGCGGCTTAGTCATGGTGGCCACATGACCCGGAAGCTGTACGCCAGCTCCCTAGGCCAATAAAGCGAGATGAGCACCGCAACCCCAGAGTCGGCCACAACTGGACCTAACGGTCAGGGGTCCCTTTACCTAGCCTGCTCCCACCTTTCAGCATTTTTAGCCAATGAATGATATCACAACATTGATTGACATTTATGAAAACAAATCTAACCACTCAGATAATGAGAAGTCTAGAGTGACACACCCATTTTCTACAGATTGAACTAGGCTCATTTTAAAGCTTTCCCTGGCGAAGTGCTCATCGCCCCATAGAAAACAATTCAGGCATCCGTGATTTTAGTGTGGTTATGATTAGGCAAAAGTTACCCCCAAAAAACAAAAGGTTGCTGCAGAAGTGGGACTTTTTGGATCTTTCTAACTCAGATATTATTGCTTAGCCCCCAAAATTATAACGGAGCTTGTGAAAATTAAAGAAGTTGCCCTGCCAATGCAGTTAGAGCATAGATTAAAGGTAAAGGTACCCCTGCCCGTACGGGCCAGTCGTGTCCGACTCTAGGGTTGTGCGCCCATCTCACTTAAGAGGCCGGGGGCTAGCGCTGTCCGGAGACACTTCCGGGTCACGTGGCCAGCGTGACGAAGCTGCTCTGGCGTACCGGCAACCAGAGCAGCACACGGAAACGCCGTTTACCTTCCCACTAGAAAGCGGTACCTATTTATCTACTTGCACTTTAGGGGTGCTTTCGAACTGCTAGGTGGGCAGGAGCTGGGACCGAAAGACGGGAGCTCACCCTGCCGCGGGGATTCAAACCGCCAACCATGCGATCGGCAAGCCCTAGACGCTGAGGTTTTACCCACAGCGCCACCCGCGTCCCTTAGAGCATGGATTACACTGGCTCTAAACACAGGGTTATTTCCATTTTCAAGAGTGGGAGTTAAGAGTAATGTAATGCCAACCATACTCTGGTCCATGGGGTCACGAAGAGTCGGACACAACTAAATGACTAAACAACAGGAATGCCAACCCTGAAATGTACTCTAGTGTTCATCCTGGGACCTTTTTTTTTTTTTTAGTGGAGGGGGTAGCTGTAATAATAATAATAATAATAAGAATAATAATAAGAATAAGAAGAAGAAGAAGAAGAAGAAGAAGAAGAAGAAGAAGAAGAAGAAGAAGAAGAAGAAGCAGCAGCAGCTGGGTTTCCCCAGCCACTCTGGGCGGCTTCCAACAGTAGATTAAAAATACATTAAAACATCAGTCATTAAAAAACTTCCCTAAACAGGGCTGTTAAGTTAATTGTAGTAGCAGTGCAATTAATTAAAGGCTTAAGGGGTCCAGAAAAAAAAATTTGAAGGTTTCAGCTGAGGGTGGAAAGACACAATATGGATGCCAGGTCTGTCTGTAGATGAACACCAGGTCTATCCAGTGAAAAACAGCATAGGGATATTCCTAGAACTAGATTCTCAGAGACAGGTCTACCCAAGTCTCATTACTGTTCTGTCACCAGATCTACTAGAAATTTTAGACCAGCTCTCTGTTAGTTGATATATGTTTATTTATTTGGAATATTTACTACTCCCCCCCCCCGGTCACATGAAAGCAGGCAGTGCATTATGGACCTTTTATTGCTTCAACATGGTCTCATGGTTTTGGAATAGGAATTTGGGTCTAAGTCTTACGGTAATTTTTATTGTGTTTTTACTGGAGTACAACAGGTACAGTGGTGCCCTGCAAGACGAATGCCTCGCAAGACGAAAAACTCGCTAGACGAAAGGGTTTTCCGTTTTTTGAGTCGTTCCGCAAGACAAATTTCCCCATGGGCTTGCTTCGCAAGATGAAACGTCTTGCGAGTTCTTGCAAGTTTGTTTCCTTTTTCTTAAAGCCGCTAAGCCGTTAATAGCCGCTAAGCCATTAATAGCCGCTAATAGCCGCTAAGCCGCTAATAGCCGTGCTTCGCAAGACGAAAAAACCGGCAACACGAAGAGACTCGCGGAACGGATTAATTTCGTCTTGCGAGGCACCACTGTATAATGACAGGAGGTGAGCAGAGACCTGTTTTATTACCTGTATTATAAACACCTGCAATTGTCTACAGAGAAACGGAGAAAAGGAGAAAGGCAATTCAGGAAGAAGCACGAGAGATATTTGAGTCCTTAAGAAAAATAGAGGCTAAAAATGACGATGCACTAGAAGAAAAGGATGATGTGATGAAAGAGGTGGATGGGAAAAAGGCTTTGCTGGAAAGCAAGGAGCGAGAATTTATCTCTCTTACTAAAATGCATGAAATGAACAAAGAGAATGAAGGAAGTGCCATAGCAGAAAGGTAAGTTTTGCCTTCACAGGAGGAATTTGTCTTTCACCACCCGTTTTGCTAGCTAAATTCCACTGGGTTGCTAGGTTGTGTTTCCAAGATGCGTATATGGGAGAAGACTCCTATAGTGTAATAGTGCCACTGTATTCTGCTCTGGTCAGACCTCACCTGGAGTCCTGTGTCCAGTTCTGGGCACCACAGTTCAAGAAGGACACTGACAAACTGGAACGTGTCCAGAGGAGGGCAACCAAAATGGTCAAAGGCCTGGAAACGATGCCTTATGAGGAACGGCTAAGGGAGCTGGGCATGTTTAGCCTGGAGAAGAGGAGGTTAAGGGGTGATATGATAGCCATGTTCAAATATATAAAAGGATGTCATATAGAGGAGGGAGAAAGGTTGTTTTCTGCTGCTCCAGAGAAGCGGACACGGAGCAATGGATCCAAACTACAAGAAAGAAGATTCCACCTAAACATTAGGAAGAACTTCCTGACAGTAAGAGCTGTTCGACAGTGGAATTTGCTGCCAAGGAGTGTGGTGGAGTCTCCTTCTTTGGAGGTCTTTAAGCAGAGGCTTGACAACCATATGTCAGGAGTGCTCTGATGGTGTTTCCTGCTTGGCAGGGGGTTGGACTCGATGGCCCTTGTGGTCTATTCCAACTCTATGATTCTATGATTCCTGTTCAGATATTCCAGTACTAAACTGTACATCGTTTTAAATATCTTATCCCACACCTTTGAATTGGACCTGGAAATAAAAAGGGAGTGAATGCTCTTTTTCCAGCTTATTGCTGTAACAAGCAGCTACAGGGAGCCCTGTGGATCTTCAAAAACTTCTCAATGACTCATAAATCAGCAGATCAGCTTATTTGTCAGATGATAATATGGTCAAGCAAACTGGTAGATACGGTGAGATGAGCCTACCAATTTTCTAAATTATTTCGTGCATCTGGTGAAGTGACCTCAAGCCCAGTGATTTTCAAACTTACTACCTTCAGGAAACAGTTTCCCATTGCAGATCTACTTGTAATGAGTATGGGGTTGCTCGTGCGTAAGCTGCCGCCTCTCCAGGCCAAATTGCCTTGTTAAACCTTTCTGTCTAGACAGCCCTTCTCTTTGTGGCTGTTTCAGTCGCTAGCAGAATCCGTCAGTGGGCGTTTCTTAAACCTTTTCCAACATAAAAGTTGTTTGACGCCCAGTCTCCTCCTACTCTCCCTGCGCGGAAGTCTTCTGCGCAGGGAGGGCGTGGGTAGCGGAGGACCTGTGCTCTCCCCGCTGGTGTCCAGTGAAGAGTCCTGGAGCCCTCTCGCCGATTCCCCCATCTGCCCCCCTTTATCCCTGGTGTTGCACTGATTTGCTTCCCCCTCTGCTGAGCTGCCTCTCTCCCTGCTGGGGCCCTTCTCCAGCATCATTTGAGAGCCTTCCCTCCGCCTCTAGCTCCGATGTCAGTTCCCTGACACTAATATAAAATCCCTCTGTGTTGCAGAGGATCTCAAGACTGTTTCTAGGCCACAAGCTCTCAGTAAATAGGTCTGTGGGGGCTTAACTGACATTCTTGGAAAACTGGTAATATGCTCTACAATGCACCACATTGCAAAGAAAAAGTGGCAATGATGGGCAAGTTGCCTTTCAGGTAGCCTGTCTTCCATGGATAATCTTTGCATTGAGAAACTCCTTCAGAATCCCAAGGGATCACGTGGCATGGTTGGAAAGCATTCATCTCCATAAGGCTGGAAAACATTAATCTCCATAAAGCTTTTGGTTTTGTTGCAACAGACTGACATAGCTTCTTTTGTGGAACAAAAAATGCTGTAACGCTGGTAAAGTTGAATCAGTGTCCTTGAAAGTGATTGCTGGTTTCATATTTTGACTGCTGCCCAACAATAGTTTTTACTCCCACTGTTCCTAACTGTATTTTTGTTTATTCCTATAAATGTTACATCAAGATGCATCAGGGCAGTTCACAAAAATAACAAAACAAATCACAGCAATTTAAATAACAGGAATTCAGTGGTTTTGTTTATACCTATTGTCAGGGAACTGACATCAGAGCGAGAAGCGGAGGCAGGGCTCCCGAGCGATGCCGGAGAGGGGACCAGCAGGGGGGAAGGAATTCAGGGTAACACCAATAGAGAAGAGAGGGAGATGGAGGAATTGGCGACAGGGCTCCAAGACCCTTCACCCGAAACTAGTGGAGAGAGCGCTGGCACGCCCCAGCCTTCCCCTTACTTGCGCAGACGCGTTCCGCGCAGGGAACATAGGAGGAGACTCGGGGTCAAACAGCTTTTATGCTGGAAGAGGTTCAAGAAACGCCCACTGACGGATTCTGCAAGTGACTAACAGGTCACGGAGGGCGAGCTCTGACCCTAAGCATGGTTGGGCAAGCAAACTAACTACATCTAAGGCCATTTACGCACAAGTAACCCCTCACAACCATTAGACCTATTCTTTGCCCAGTTTTACTTTTACTTTCTTTTGTACATTTTGTTTCCTTTCTGTACACTTCTGTAGGGCTATCTTAGAAATGGGTTCTCGTAACTGTATTGTGACAAAGCAGAAACTGCAAGACACTTTGAGTCGGATGCAAAGAGAGAGAGAGAAAGATTTCAGAAATTTTAAAAAGATGGAGATGCAGTTGAAGATAGCTCAGGAGGGCTTGGAGCAAATCAGATCCTATCATGAGAGAATCCAATTAGAGGTTTGTATGAATAAGTTTGATTAGAGATATTTTTCCTGGTTAAAATTAGCTTGAAAATGTGTCCACAATGCCGTTTTCTCTTTCAGACTGTGCCAGTAATTCATTCGGTTACCTGTTTTAAACATTGGCAAAGAGACATAACTATATTTATTTGGCAGGGAAAGAGACCAAGAATAAAATTTTAAGAATTTAACAGATGCTAAAGAAAGAGGAGGTTTTCACCTTACCTAATTTCAAACTGTATCATGAAACAGCATGTTTAACTTGCTTAAAAGAGTGGATAACATTAAGAAATACTAGATTATTAGACTTGGAACAATTTGACAGAAAATATGAATGGCATTCATATCTGTGGTATGACAAAGTCAATAAAAATAAAGATTTTCTTATCTTACTTACTTATCAAACTTATTAGGCATTGTGATTTTCTTAATCATTATATAAGTAGGGGTCTGATGGAGGTGTGAAGAGAACTAAAAGCCTTCTGGAACATAAGATTCCCTTATGGTTATCACCAATGGAGGCCTGTGCACATAAATCAACAAATATGCAATCCAAATAGGCTTTATATAGAGATTTATTGAGCTTTTAGGATGTAAGCTTTAAAAATTCAACAAAATACAAAACTTAGTGGGTAATTGGTTCCAGTATCATCAATTAAACAAAATCTATTAAAAAAGGTTTAAATAATGGATTTGCTAAAATTGTTGGACGTAATATAGATATGGCTGCCTGGGAAAAGCTTTGGAAAACAGGAATGAAATTTACAGCATGTTATAGCCTAAAAGAAAACTATTACAAGATGATGTATAGATCTAATCCCAAAGAAGCTAGCTCAAATGTACAAAAATGTATTAAGCAAATGTTGGAAATGTAAAGTTTGTTAGAGGTCATTCTATCATACGTGGTGAACCTGCAGGAAGGCCTTTTGGGACATGATATATAATGAAATTAATAAAAGATTTAAAGTGACTTTTCCCAAGAGACCACAGTCCTCCCTGCTGGGGAAACTAGACAGTGAAATCCCAAAGAAAGCCTTAACGGTATTTGTACGTGACTACAGCTGCAAGCACTGATAAAAGATACAAATTTAGAATCTTTTAAAGGGCTCTGGAAACCATTTCTAGTCTAAAAAAAAGTTATTTCCCATATGCGAAGCTCCCAGCGGGGTTTGAAGTGTAAGAAAACAGCAAAATATATTAAGAAACATGTTAGAGAGGATGAAATCAGATAAGACAGAACCTTAAAACGCAGTTGTATGTAATTTGAGTTATAAACAAGAAGTCACTAGTTTTGTTGAATTGGAATATAATTGTTGAGTCACAAAAGTAACTATATATAGAAAAAAATATATATTAGAAAAAAGAGAAAATGTTTCTACACACAGGATTGTGTGTGCATCGTGTTGTGGCAGCGTTGGAATACTACAATCCTTAACACATCCAGCTTTTGCCAGGTGACATGGAATTCCAGCACGAAGGCAGCCACAACAACCAAGGGCTTGCTATTCTAAAGAATAACAAACAGCAACAGGAGACCAAAAAAGCAAAAATATTTGTATCAGCAAGCCATGGCAAAAAAGCAAACAAAATATATCAGCAAGCTATGGCAGTAAAAACTAAAACTCGGCTAACTGAGAATCTGGCTGTGTTTGGCTTTGAAGGTTACTGAATGCTGTATTTAGAGGAAGGATATGTTCCTTTTCGAGAGAACTAAAACATCCCGTGATAAATCTGTAGATTCTGCTTTTCACAGTTTCAGACTGTGTCACACACTCCACCCCGCCTAGATTGTACTGTAGTTTGATGCTGCAACCGTGCAAATTCCTAAAGGCTGATGCACACCAGACTGGAAGGAAGCATGAGCCTCCCTTGAGTCAACCCGACCCATGAAGTCCTCAGTCAGGGGTCTGCCCCAGACCCCTCACAGAGGAGCCAGAATACACAGAGGAGCCCCCCACCCCTGGCACCTGGCCCAAGTGTGCTTTTGTGTGCCTGGCTGCGTAGAGAGATGTTCACTAACACCCCACGCTGCTTGCTACTTCAAATTGTGACTTGTGTGTCGAGACCCTGCAGCCACCCCCTCATTGGGAAATAACTCACACAAGGACACGGATATTAGGTTTATGTTATTGGGCAAATTTGGCCACAACTTTATTGAATTACAGAATGTGAGCGGTATTGGCTTAGGCATTGATTGGACCCGACTATATCTGACTCCTGCCTGCTGCGCAGGAAGTCCGGTAAGGGTAAAACACCGGTAGTGGGGGGCCTGTTGATGCAAACCAACTCAAGCTCCCCCTGGTGTTCCCGTTGGGGTTGTGTCATGGCCCTAGCCCCCGACCCAGGCTTCAGACAAGAGCAACACCCCCGGATTCCTTTAACTGAATACCCTTAAGCATGGAGGGGCAGGTGATGGCCACACCTCCCCTCCCCCACACAAGGTCAAACAGTGCCTAACCGCAACCCTAACAGAGTTGTGACGATTGCTATGAGGTAGGCAAAAACCAAATGGCCAGTGGAAAAATTCCTACCAGGCCCCTTGGACAACCAAGGCGACCAACCGAGGTCCATAGCAAGGCCAGTGCCTAACCTGCAAAATAGGGAGGGAGGGAAGGTGATTGAGGATGCGAGCCAAAGAGGAAGTTTCCGGCTCGCTCCTCGGTTTAAAGGTTCCCGGGCATGCCCCCCGGCCAGCGGATTGGCTGGCCGGGCTCTGACGTGGCTGGGATCCCCCAGGCAACGGGGGACCAAGTCCCCCGCCCCCAGTGGGGAGTGGGTGGCCACGCGGTCCACCGCAACTCCTCCCCACTGGGAAGTGGAGCGGATTTCTCAATAAGTATGTTGGGGAGGTGGGAACCTGGACTTCCCAGGAAACTTGAGATCTACTGTTTAATAGTTAGAAAAGCCTACATAATTGAGAAAATTATTTCCCTGGTGACATGGGCCAATCAATAACCTAAAAACCTTAGAGATGCCAAGCTAAGGAAATTATCCATGCTAACAAGGACTGGTGCACATTAAACACTCTAAATGTTAATCCATATGTTAGGCCTGGAAGAATAGAGTTATAATGTATAACTTCTTTATGTAGTCTAACCAGATAACTCCAGATATTTATGGAGGCTCGGCATAAGGTTGACCGAGAAGCCAAGAGGGCGGAATGCAGAAGGGAAAGAGCCAGGCCTTATGGTGAGGGTAACATATAGGAAACTACACAAAACTGACGGCTTTGCTGATTAATTCTTACAGTAATGTTATAACTGCGTCACTAGGTTGTTGTTTTTTAAAGGAACTCTAACAAAGCATATGAAAATGCTTCCCCACCCTGCCACACCAATCCCTTTGATGCCATGGCAATGTTCTACCCAATTGCATACAATCTTGTGGGACGTATTGTATGAATAAGCATTCACAGAATCAGGAAGCAGGTTGTGACAGAAGCACTTCCTACAAACCAGTTGTTTCACAAGAGCATCATGCCAGATTCCCTTGTGAAACTGCTTACTGTGCAGTTGTGCCTTTTCCCAGCAACGTGTCAATCCAAGGCAGACAGGGCAACAGGGGTAAAGTGTATTGTGTGTGCCAGTAACATTTTGGGCTATATGATCTTGCTGCAGTTAAGCCAAAAGAACCAACCACAACATTATCAGTGGAAATGGAATAACGGAGGAGTGTTGAAATAGTAGCTTTTACAAGACCTCCATATTTCTTCTATCATGCCTTCCGCTCAGTTGTGTAAAGTAACCCAGGAGTTGCCAGGCATTTTAAAATTATACTGGAAAGCTTTGCTTAGCTGTCTAATGGTCTGAAGTTGTTAGGGAAATTGCCCATATTTCTGTGCATGCAAACTGATGGGCATTCACAGATAGCAAGTTCCAAAAAATCCGTATTAGGGCAATCATATTTTTAAAAACGCCTTAAGTGATGGGGTACAATGATGCCGTGATATTGCAAGTTGATAAGCTGGCATCACCATAACATGAAAATGCTAGTCTGGCAGCAGCATCCAAAACTGATACACAATACAGAAAGAGGCAGAGAAAGGGTGTGGCATGTTTAGGACACCTAGAACCCATGTCAAAAGGTATTTCAGCCACCACAGTACAAATTATGCCAACACACATCTGCATGACTTATGTTTACTTACAATAGCAGCTTGTCATCATTATATATCATATGTCAGCACTGTGATTATTATGGATCATATTACAGATCAGTTGGCACTTGTCTTGTACGTCTTGATATTTAGAGCCCATGGAATCCCACTGAGCTTAACACGTCTACATGGTTCCAGGTTGCAGCTGTAACACCTACATCAACTGCTGTGATGGTTGTTTTTCTAGCATCCTTTAGCAAGCCATTTAACAAACTTAAAAACACACACCATGTTCTGCAGTTGGAATGTGTACCTACATTCCTAAATCTTAATCTTTAATTCAGTTAATGTTTAAGGAAGATGCTAAGTACAGTCTATGTTAAAATACCACCGTTTCCTTCTTTTGCATATGTTAACTGTCTCAGGTTTCCCTTTTTTAGCTAGATGCTGTTCCAAAAGATGATGGGACACTACTAGAAAGACGAAGGGAGCTCCAGAGGGAAGTAGAAATGATTAAGAGAAATCTGGCCCAGGAGGTATGTTATTACCATGACCCATATTTTATGTTTTTCTAGTTCTTTTCCATTCTACAAGATTTAAGATACAAGTCCTGCAAAACTCTGTGTCCATTTAAAACAGGAGTTGTCCACCTGGTCCCTACCGCCCACTAGTGGGCGTTTCAGGATTCTAGGTGGGCGGTAGGGGGTTCTACAGCACAAGCTGAATCCTCCTTCCATTGAGCACTGGTGGGCGGTAAGGAAATTTTACCATCAAGAAAGATGCATTAGTGGGCGGTAGGTATAAAAAGGTTGACTAGGTAAAGGTAAAGGTACCCCTGCCCAAAGGCCAGTCGTGTCCAACTCTAGGGTTGTGCGCTCATCTCACTCTAGAGGCCGGGAGCCGGCGCCGTCCGAGGACACTTCCGGGTCATGTGGCCAGCGTGACGAAGCTGCTCTGGCGAGCCAGCGCAGCACACGGAAACGCCGTTTACCTTCCCACTATAAAGCGGTACCTATTTATCTACTTGCACTTAAGGGTGTTTTCGAACTGCTAGGTGGGCAGGAGCTGGGACCGAACGACGGGAGCTCACCCCGCCGCGGGGATTCGAACCGCTGACCATACGATCGGCAAGTCCTAGGCGCTGAGGTTTTACCCACCCGCGTCCCTAAAAAAGGTTGCCTACCCCTGGTTTAAAAGCTCTAATACTGTCATAAATAGCCATGAAATGGGTAAAAATGTTTTAGTACACAGATTGCTGAGGTCACATTGCACCAAATGTGTGATCATCAAAAGAATGTTGCACTGTATGTGTAGTCATTGTATGTGCCATGCCGTTACAAACAGTTGTAGTTCAGGCATTGTATCAGACTCCTTTTCTTCTCTCAGCTGTATGAAAGCATCCAGTGATCTCTTTTTAGCATCATTGTGATAAACGAGATATGGAAGAAAACTGCTGAAATGAAGAAACCCCCCCCCCTTTTATTCAGTTAAATCTTCATACATGCATAAGGAATCTAGTCAAGCAACCTTCAACAATTCTACAGTTTTAGCCATTCACCCACTCTGCTTCCAGCCTGTGGAGTGTTGTAGTTTAAATTTGTGTATTCCTGAGTTTGGATGAGTTTTTATCCCGTTTATTTTACCTTCAAGTGCACAATGCTTTACAATGCAATGCTGTAGCAAAAAAAAGCTTATAAAAATGAAATATAGAGTAACAGGAGCATTACACCATTAATAAACATGGAGTTTGTAAATTTTATGCTTATGTAATTTCCAAACCTCTCCTCACTGAGCTGGTGGAATAGTGGCAGCTTTCTCCATTGACATCTATGACCGGTGCAATTTCTTTACTCCTCTCTAAGGAGATTTGAAGAGAACACAGACTGCCATGGCTTCCTTAACACCCTTTAGAGAAGGATACTAGCCAGAGTGGGTATAGGAGTAAAACGAAGCTTATCAGAACTGGCAGGATTGCTGTTCAGGAGTACAAGGGGGCAGCTTACAATTGGCATAGCTGCTTACAATAGCAAATAGGGCGGGTGTAGTTGTTGCTTTTTGGTGTTGAGACCTAGATTTGAAAACCTCTCTCCGCGCGTCATTTCTTTGTAAAAAAAGTTTGTTTACTGGTTATTAGGTTAAATGTTGTACTAGTTGCAAAGGTGAGATTCAGTGTGGTGTTCTGGATAGAATTTCAGATCAGGGAGGCTCTTTTACAGATCCTTCCAATAGTAATTGCTCAAGTGGTGCCAACTGTCTCGATAGATACCTGTTTTACTATTTTCCAGTTTGTGATGAAAGCATGCATTGGGCTTCAAAGGTGCTTCCTCTCAGCGCCCATCAGCTGCACTAGCTGTCGGAACTGGCTGGACACTGAGGAGTGGGCAGTAGGAGAAGGGGGTAGGGTTGGAGACGGACTTGTAATAAGGGATCAGTGATCTGGGGGAGCTTGTGACAGCCAGGACTGGAGTCAGAGTCAGGACTGGAGAGGGAAAAACAAGTGCAGGAGGAGTGAGAGAGAGAGAGGTCAGGCTGGTCAAGGGTTGCCTTTTCCTAACTTGTAAGTGTACTTTTGACAATAAAGACTCAATTCCTCGCTCTGGCCATTCCTTGCCCGACAGCGCCATGGCACTAGCTCAGCCAATTTTATCCAAGTGCTTACCTGCCCCAGGGGGCCCACTTGAATAAAATATTGGGGGGCCCAAATAAGCGCCGTCCCACATAATTGATCACAAAACAGCACGTGCACATCACTTCAATGGCAATGCCCATCAACTTGGGGGGGCAGCCCCCTCAAATATTTTATTGGGGGGCCAAAAGGACCCTGGCCCCTAGGAGTTGGCTCCTAGACCTGCCCCACACCTGATGTCCCCATCCCCCCTAACATTAAAATGGCCTTTGGTGTTTTCAATCTAGAAAACATCAACAGATGCTGAAGTACGAATATTTGAGCAGTGTATTGCTGAAGAAGAACACCTATTTAAAGCCCAGGAACACTACAGAGAGGAAGTAGACAACTTGATACGTTTGACTCAGATCAAGGCTGATGAGAGGGAGCAAAAATCAAAGGATTTTTTGAAATCCCAGGTAAGAGGAATGCAACAGATGACTAGTTTGATGCATCCAATATTAGTACATGCCTGGAATTGCTAGAGGCCTGTAGTCGTCAGCTTTTATCTGCCGCTTCTAGCGTCAATACTTGAAGAATTGGAAAATGGCACAAAACACACTTTCAAATCCAAACCGGTGGCAAGGCTATATTTACCTGTGATACAATTATTCTTCTTCCCCTTCTGCACCCACATCCCATGGGAAGTCGCAAGAATTAGGACTGCATTGTGAAGCTGGGTAAGTTGATTTTTCTTCCAATGCCTGCTCCTAACAAGATGTTGCTGGTTTGAATGGGTGTTATTTATTAGTGGGGTTTACACTTTGTGGGTGGGAAATACCTTTTTGAAGAAACGGCATGCTTATGAGTAGTCTTTGTCTAAGTCTTTTTCCAGAAATGCCTTTGCAACGCTTCCAATTACCAGTCTGTTCACTACTATTTCTGTTGCAGGTACGGCTGCATAATGTTAAAGCAGATATAAAAACAAAAGACTTTGAAGTAAGGGAACATATGAAGAAGCAAAAAGCAATTCAGAGACAGTAAGGAAATTTTGGCAAAGGATTTGATGAAGTGCCTTCTATAGCAGGAGATAGTTAATGCATTAAAACAAGTAACATTTCCCCCTGTAATATTTTTGGTTTGTAGAATGAAAGAATTTGCTAAAATGTATGACATTGTGCGACATGAGAGAAACAAACTGGTCAACCTTTTGCATTGTGCTCGCCAAAAAACAAATGAAATTAAAGAGAGAGTCAAAATGCTAGATAATGAAAAGGAAATCTTAAGGACCAATGCTGTGATTAAAGAGAGGTGAGCACCCACTTAATAATTTATCTGAAGGACAATCATCCTTGTTGTGGTCTAGAACTGGCTTTTATTTCTCACTGTGTGGCAAATTATCATTTCTATTTTTATATTTGTTACCTTATTTCATTCTTGATGTCATACAGAAACAAACTTATGTGCATGTGTCAATTGCTGGATTCAGTGCTGCAGGCACAAACCATACACATTCAAATGGCGTGCGGTGAATTTTTTCATAGGAAACAATTAGGGCCAGAGGCGCCAGCTTGCGAAGGTCATTGGGGGTGGCAAAGTCGTGATGCCCTGGCATTGCGTGTGTGAGCTTTGTGCCTTCCTGCCTAAGCCAGACAGTCTGGGAGTTGCCTAAGCCTAGATTCAACCTCATGTTTTTTATGCTGCGTGTAGGCCTCTGATGTAAAATCCATAAATAAACATAATAAATACAATTCATCTTCTCTCAGAAGATTAGCTGACTATTATTCATTATACATATTTATTTTATTTCTACATATTTCATTTCATTTCCCAATCATCTATTGATAGGGAAGATGAGTTTGTAGAAATTTCAGAGAAATACTACTAAAAATAATAACAATGCTTAATATTAATATAATGTTCTTCAGTCTTTCACATATGCTACATAAGCAATCCTCAAGAAATCAGGACTGATTGTGCTGTCTAAGGTCATCTAAAAATGTAACTCTGTTTCATTCTCCATTTTATCTTCATTTATTTCCCTCCCATTCAGAAAATTGCAAAAATACCAAATGAAACATGCAAGTAACATTTCGGTCAAAGACAGCATCCAGTGTGATGTTTGCAAAGTTCATCAAACACTCGTGGAGATGAAAGAAAAGCGAGAGCAGCAGCTGATGGACGTTGAAAGACTCACCAACTTGCTCACTCGTATCGAGGATGAAATGGTTCAGTTGCGAAAGAAATATGAAAAGGCCGTCCAGCTTCGAAATGAGAGGTAGGGAGCACAGCAAACGTCAAACACTTTGTAGGTTTGCTAGTATTTCATTTGAATGATAACTTCTTTTGTGGTTATTAATATTGTGGATATGGTTCAAAAGCTTTACTAACAGAACTTGTTCTAAAACAAATACTCAAAACAATTATACTACATCCAAATTGCAGCATAATATCATGTGCTTGTCCAAGCACAGGTACAGCATCTTAGAAATATATAACTACGCTAAATTAGAGCTGAAAGCAGCTCTGTCTCTCCCACAGCCTGCATTCCAGCCCGAGGCTGTGTTATCGTAGTAAGAGAATAATTAGCACACATCCTTCTTTCTTTCAACAAAATAGAGATTTGCAACTGAACACCCTTCTCATGTGATCTAAGTTAAAAACATGACAGAGCTGCAGAGATACATCAACAGCTAATAATTAACTTTTTAGGTACTCAGAGAGCTTACTTGGCTTCAGTGGACTTTTCCAATGTTAAACCTTGAGCAATACACATACGGAGTTGTTTTACATTTCAGTGTACAATTAAACAGTTATACTTAACAACTTGCAGGTTGCTCAGTCCTCTGTTCCTAATTAGTTTGCTTTCTTACATGGCGGTTATATTTTGCTTGTAAGACTAAAATTTTGAATTGTCCTTTGATTATATTGCTAAAAGCACCGAGGCAGTCATTATGGAGCTCCAAACCAAGACTGATACTCAAAATAATAAGCTGAAATTAATATCCTCCTTCCTCTTCCTTATTATCACTAACCTAGTTTAGGCCTCAGTCCTTTTCTCTCTCCCATCTTCTTCCCAGCACACCTTGCCCAAGTCCCTCTTTCCCTGTCACCTCACACCCAGTTACCCTGGCAACCTTCTGTCTGCCCAGGCCCAAGATTCCTCTTAGTTGGGCCACCAACCCCTTTTGTCATGTTAACGCCTCTATCCCAGGTGAGGCCCTGGCTTGGGAAGGAAGCTTAGCCTACATTTTCCCCCTGGCCTGCAATCTTCTCTTCAATACTCCAAGTAATAAAAATCCTACCATTTATTAACTTCTAGGGTTTAGGGGTCCCCCCCCTAATCTGTAACAAACACCATGCTTCCTGGATGGACGAGGTGAATAAACCTGCCTATTAAGTCTTCACTTTGGGTTCCTTGTAGTGGAGTTCTGCTCATAGAGCGTGAAGAAGAAGTGTGCATTTTTTACGAAAAAATAAATATTCAGGAAATGATGAGCCGAAATGGTGATACGGAGATTAATGTGATGGATGAAAAGATCCGCTTTCTAAAGCTGAAGCTCACGGAGAAAAAGAGGCAGATTGAGTTGTCCCTGAGAACCCTGCCGCTGAAAAGAGGTCTAGATGCAGATCTGGTCGTCCTGCAGATTCAGGTAGGTGCGATAAGAAGTATTACCTTTCCATAACCGGATTTCTTATTTTAAGGGGAGAGGAAAGAAAGCCAGGACTATGGACATGTGAGGTCACTGCAGGCAACTGTAGTCGGCCTGTAGTGGAGAACTTTCCATTTAACAATACTCCTAAATGGCATTAGACCTGATGCAGGAGGCTCCTGGGCCTACAAAATACAGTGGTGCCCTGCAAGATGAATGCCTCGCAAGATGAAAAACCCGCAAGACGAAAGGGTTTCCCGTTGCGGAGGCGCTTCGCAAAACGAATTTCCCTATGGGCTTGCTTCGCAAGACGAAAACGTCTTGCGAGTCTCACCATTTTCTTTTCGCTCCCCCCCCCTTTTTCAAAGCCGCTAAGCCGTTAATAGCCTTTTAACAGCTTAGCCGCTAAGCCCGCTAAGCCGCTAATAGCGCTAAATCGCTAATAGCGCTAATCCGCTTAGCCGCCAATGGGGTTGCTTCGCAAGACGAAAAAACCGCTAGACGAAGAGAATCGCGGAACGGATTCTTTTCGTCTTGCGAGGCACCACTGTAAGGTCTTAGGATGCTCAAGCGGTAAGCTGGGAGACAGGACCAGGCAGCCATCAATACAATTTTGCACACCTGGAAGTGATGGTGCAAGATGACAGCTATGCCAGTGTGTAGAATGGGGTTATTTAGCAATGGACCTCCTGCTGCACTGCTGGCCTGCTGCTGTTATACAAATTAAAGCCCCAACTCTGCTACGGGGGAAAGATGTTCCATGATGATGTGCGGCTGCTTCCATGTATTCCGGGGGGGTAAAATGGCTACCCCTATGGACTCATGGGCATATACAGTGTCCCTGGAAAGGAAAAGACCAAGGCAAATAGGAGTGGGTGAAGCACCTCATGGGGCTTTGGTGGTGCCATAGCAAGGAAGGAGTTGTTGAGATCTCCCACCACCACCAGACCACCCTTCCCCAACCCTTGCTTTAAGAAACAGGTCGATGGGTCAACTGTTAGCCACCCCTTCACTGCAAGAACCGGAACATCCTTCCCTTTATGTCTAGGCTTATTAATTTCAGTGCTGGAAATAGCAATATGCAATATTTCGAGATGACTACGGAAGCCCCTGCTATGTGCTGAGCAGGCGCTAACAGCTACTATCCAAAGACACTCACCTGTGGTTATAAGCCTCAGATAATAAGTGGGGATGCACAGTTGTCATAAAGTGACAGGAGATATGAGGGAGGTTCCTTTACTCTTAGGGGTATTATGTCCTGTCTTCCTGAGATAATTTAACTTTTGACCTTAAGAGCAAGCAGCATTCCCCCCACACCCCACCGTCATAACAGTTTCTGTTCATTCTAATTTGGACATTTTCACTTTTGACATGTGGCTGCTATTATGTTCACAGTAGAATAACACCGAGTTACAGCTCTGGGCTCCACTCATTTTGAGAAATTAGTTTCTCCACATCCCCCGAGGAATGCATAAACAATTTGGACAGCCAGAAAAATGACTGAAAAAATTAGGCTGGTTGGAGGGGGAAGAATCGCACTCAACAATTTGGATACCCAGATGAACAAATTGGCATGAGCTAGGTAGGGTAAATGGCAGGATAGTTGCTCTGTTGGGGATGTCATGGAATCAAGGCAGCTTCTGCGAGGGCAGCAGAACTGGCAGGATCAGGACCAGCTGCATATTTCAGGAAGCTCTGGGAGGCAGGTGGCTGAAGGACCAAATTTGTGTTATTTTGCTCGTCCATTGTTTGCATTGTTTCTTTTAGGAGAAAAGGTGGGATAGAAACTTGATAAGCAAATCAGTAGGACAGCTGAGAAAGCAGGGTAGACTGGAGACAAATATCTCACATATGCATCAGGGTCAGGAGAGGCTGTGTTGTTGGCAAGAGGGGTGAATGGCTGAAATTCATATGTTGATTCAAAAGCTAAGTATTTGGTTGCAGTTTCTAGCTACATTTGTAAGTATGGTTACAGAGCAAGGCCATAACTTTAAACACAACTTAGGTCAGTCACACTGAACACAGTGAGACTTCCTGCTGAAAGATACACAGTATGTGTTTACAAAGTCAGTACAACAATATGGTCGCTCCGGATAGTGAAAAACATCTTCAGGGTTAGATGGCATTTTGATAAAGCCTTTGCACAATGCATTGTGGTTTTCCTGTACTGTGCTATAACTTGTTGTGGAACTGGTGAGTTTCCGCTCTCATCAACCACAGTAGGGAGGAGTCTTTAGTATAAAGATGATTACTTCATATACGGCACCACAACCAAGCCCAGGCTTGCGACTAGCATTTAATAATAGCCAAAGTGACAAAACAAGCAACTAGCACATTTCATGCTACTTCTCTGGACATTTAAGAGAGCAAACAAGTGACCAACATAAATCGTTCGGAGAAGACTTGCTGAAGGCTATCACGGAAAGCTCTCCCATTACAAAATGGCAGGAGGCCTGTATAAGTATCATGCCAAGGGGTGTTGTGGGCTCTGCAGAGTCCTGCCCTACATCCTCAGAGTGGTGCTGTCATGAATATACACTCAATAGCTTATCCACAGATAGACCAAGGCTAGTGTAAAATTAGCCAGCACTGCAGCAAGGAACCACCAGAAGGGGGAGCATTCTGCTGCTGCTGCCTTACGATTAGGGCGAGTATCCCTATGGCTGGTGTCTTCCATTCATTTGAATGGCGCTACATAGGAAGATGGGAGAAATTCAATTGAGTTCACATTTAAAGGCAAACGTACCTAAATTCACACTTTCCAAAATAATACACAAACCAAATCACAGCCATCATTTGAAATTCACATTTCTCTGAATTTTGCAATGCAAAGTAATGGTGCATAAAACTCTATACAGTAGTGAAAGTAACCTACAAAAATGCATTATATCAGGGGAAATTGCTTTGCAAAAGTGTGCCTTTTAAGATAAATTTGCATCAAAATGCTGGGCTTTAAAAAATAAATTGCTAACTAATGTGGGAATGTTACAGATGGGTAGCCGTGTTGGTCTCCCATAGTCAAAACAAAAAAAATTCCTTCCAGTAGCACCTTAAAGGTAAAGGTAAAGGTACCCCTGCCCGTACGGGCCAGTCTTGACAGACTCTGGGGTTGTGCGCCCATCTCACTCAAGAGGCCGGGGGCCAGCGCTGTCCGGAGACACTTCCGGGTCACGTGGCCAGCGTGACAAGCTGCATCTGGCAAGCCAGAGCCGCACACGGAAACGCCGTTTACCTTCCCGCCAGTAAGCGGTCCCTATTTATCTACTTGCACCCGAGGGTGCTTTCGAACTGCTAGGTTGGCAGGCGCTGGGACCGAGCAACGGGAGCGCACCCCGCCGCGGGGATTCGAACCGCCGACCTTTCGATCGGCAAGCCCTAGGCGCTGAGGCTTTTACCCACAGCGCCACCCGCGTCCCTTAAAGACCAACTAAGTTAGTTCTTGGTATGAGCTTTCGTGTGCATGCAGGTATCTGAAGAAGTGTGCATGCACACGAAAGCTCATACCAAGAACTAACTTAGTTGGTCTTTAAGGTGCTACTGGAAGGAATTTTTTTTTGTAATGTGGGAATGTGGAGAACTGAATTTAAGAGTGGGAAAAACAGAAACTGAGAGAAACCAAAATGGTGGGATTTGTCCATCCCTCATCCCTACTTGTACAGCAATGGCTCATTGTAGATCATACAAAGAAAGGGGTACATTTTGTATAGTGCTGAGCTGCCTACATGACTGCTCAAGGGAACACTCCCCGCATCCTGTTATTTATGAGGTACGGTGGTGGTTTTGTTTTTTAAAGAAAAAATTCATTTCAGAGCACACACGCTGATGTTCTGGTCTTGATTAACAAGCATTTCTCAGTTTCCAGAAATTTCACAATCTAACCCAAGTTTTAATGTGTTAGATTATAATGTATTAGAGAATGTGTTATTGGGAGGGGCAGTTTTACCTTGTTTTGTGCATCAAAGTGCCCCCACCGCTTTTAAAAGTTCTTTTAGTGTATGAAAGAAACCAAAACCTTCCTTTTTCCTGTGATGCAACTTGACTTCTGAGAACAGGAAGGACTGGATGGTTCAGCTTTGTAAGGGGGGGGGGAGAACTCGACAGAGTGAATCACCTGCTGATTGTCCATTTCAGATCAGCAGATGTTTCTATTCCACAGAATAGGGACTTTTGTGTGTGTGTGGAAATGGAAGTGTAACAGTGCTGAGTTTGGTTTCCCTGGAATAGAGATAGATAGATAGATAGATAGATAGATAGATAGATAGATAGATAGATAGATAACAATTATGGGAGAGTTACCAAACCTATTTGTCACTCTTCTCTCTTTCTCTCTCAGTTTTCTCAATGCAAGGACAGGATTAAAAGCCTGGAAAAACTGTTTATAGACCCCAGTGGACAAAACAGAACAAGAGCACTACCAGGGAAGGACCTCACTCTAGAAGAGTTGTACCAAAAAATAGATGAGGTAATTACATCATTTGTATGTCCATGAGACTATTGCGGACAAGTGACCATGTTTCATTGTTAACTTGAAGTTGATTGAGAAGGGACATCTTTGAGCAGAACCAGACAATGTGAAAAACAGGTTTCTGCTAAAAACAGCATCCTAATGTTGCCATCTCCCCAGTGCGCTCTATGTAAAAACACTTTATTCTATGTCCTGAAATTGTCACAAGTCCTTTACCCCACCCTACCAGCCAGTGATGTTGAACACCAATGGAGAAATGTGCAGCATCACTTATGCCAAGTGACATGGAATAAGTCATACTACATATTGTGGAGGGTAGAGGCAAGAACTCACTCGAGGATGTTGTTTCAATGGGATGCCCTTCACAATAACTGGTTATTGTTTGATTAATTTTATTAAATTTATATACCACCCTTCATCCAAGTATCGCAGGGAGTTTACAGTCAGAAGAGCAAATTTAATTTTTAATTCAGATAATTGAAACCCATGAAATTCTCCTGAACCACTGCCAACCAACCCTGAAACATTCTTTTATTTTAGAATATATAATGCATAATCAACTTTATAAAATGGATTTTTGTAGACTTCGTCCCTGATGATTAATTGTATACATTAATGAATCTGTTTACACTATAGTTAGAAATAAAGTTGACACAAAAAGAAGAGAAATTGCTTGAGAAGGACTTTATCTTTGAGCAAGTTGCCCGGCTGACGGACAAAATACATGCCAAGGCTGAAAACGGCAAGGAGGACACATTATTATTGGCAAAAAAGGTAAAGTCATCCACTATCCAGTTCAGATACAGATATCCACACATTTCAACAGCCTTCAACATGTCTGTTGGTTGCTTAAATGGGAGTGGTTACATTTTCTTATTCCAAAATCCAGGTCATTTAACCTCCAATGACTTCTATCTTATTCCTAAGAAATTCTATGAACACAGAATTGTGAGCTGCATATATTGATTTCAATAGATTGAGATTGAAATTGCAACATTAACTCGCATCCAGTTGTAATATGAACAGAAATCAAATCCACATCCTTGTCCACATTCTGATGCAGCTAGATTTGCGTAAATACCTTGAGTTGTAAAGGAGTCCTAGTATAAAATTATTTCTCTAGAGAAAAGTGTGGCCCCATATTATTTTTTACCAGATTGTGCCTAAGCACACAGAAGGGTTAACAAAGCAATCTTATGTACACAGATGGGGAAAACATGGAGTGGCTTTTTCTCTCTTTTTTTGGCCAGGGCAGAAAGTTGGAGTGACAGACTTTCCGGGCCCCTCCCCTGGTCAGCCATTGTTGCTTTTAATGTTTTTATAGGAGAGGAAATAAAGTATGCGACTCAAGGGCTGACACAGCTTGCTGGCCTTCCTGGGGACATGTTAGAGTAGCTGGGGACCTTTGGATCCTGCAGCCGTCTGACATGCTCTCAAGATGGATCATTTTCAGGTGCTTCAGATGAGACAGCAGCAGAGCTTCCTGGCTGCTTTGGGGAACTGGGTATATCATTGTGCTTTTGCTGCTCATTTCAGATGAATGGACTACAAGAGAAAATAAAAAGTACAACCCAAAAAATGATGGCTCTTATTGCAGAGCTGTCTATGAAACAAGCACACGCCATTAAGCTGCAGCAAGAAATGAGAGACAAAGAACAGTTTTTAATGACCATCACCTCCAGGTTGGAAAAAGGTCTCCCACTTCCTAAGGAAGTAGAGACTGAATGGTTAAAGGTGTTGCGTGACGAAGAAGTGTATAAAGCAGCAATGGAAGCCAAAGCAAAAGTGAGTTTCTGCCGGGATACTGCTCTTTGCAAGCTCATTTTGTGTTTTCTCCAATGTGGATTTAAGAAGAGGTTCCGGTAACTTTTTGACATGGACTTCTAGGTGGTAGTCAAAGGCCTATGTTGCAGTGGTAGCACCATTCTGACAGAATCTCTACTTGGCTGCATCTTGTAGCCCTTCAGATCCTTAAGCAGCTCTTCAGAGCGGGTCTGCCCAAGAATATCCCACTTTAGACAAGGTACCTAAGAGATCGTTTGATGTTGCTACAGCTCAGGTTTATCATTTAAAGTCATTGTTATAGACAGTGCAGGAGGTGCAGGAAATCCCGACTTTTTTTGCCTGACAACCCTACGTTGTTGAGCTTCTTTCAGGAGGACACAAAAGTTGTTGAACTTTTTCTGGGGAGCTTCCGAAAACACGCGGCACGTTGCCTCCTTTAACGAGCTTCTTTTGGAAGAGAAGCAAAGCGCCGAAAACGCGCACCACGCCAACTCCCAATCCATCTCAGTTCCTCCACCCGGAAAACGTGCTTTCTGCCTGCAACACCAGGATGATAATGGACACAGATAGGGTCTGCCGGAACGCTCTGGAGAGATGCCAGAAATAAGTTCTGGAGCGTTCAGGCTGAAAAAATGCTCTGGTTATAGCATCTCAGTAATAAGAGAATAGCGAGGAGAGAGCCCAAGCGCTGTTGAAGCTGGCAACTCAATGTATAACTAGTGGAGTGAGACTACAGCCAGATATATTCTCTCAGAGGAACAGGCTCTTGCAATCTGGTGGCATCTAGATTTTAGAATTTCTACTCCCATCAGTCTCTGCTAGGGCAGCCATGGAAGACAGCTGTGGAACTTATCAGCCTTGATATTCATATTATTATCATTGCTGAACCCAGATATCAGAGCCATGGCGCTAGACAGGCTCCTTAACTGAAGCTTGGGGCCAAGCTAGACATAATGTAGATGATTTGTGATAAGGACAGGTACTGTATTGACAATCTTTTTCCTCTGCAGTACTAACAGTAGCTTAGAGGAAGGTGACAAATTAGGTTGGAGAAAACAATGCCACGGAAAAGAGCTAAGCTTTCCCCTCCCCATTCAATTCAGCAGCCAAAACAATGAAAAAATGCACAATAGTACAACCTGCTTGAATATCCTTGATCTCTTACCTATCTGTGCTCTTGTCTACAATAATTCTACTGTTGAAGCACACTAAAGTGCAAAATTTTATTCCATGTGAACCAGAACACAGAAATCCTCCCAAAATTCACACTTCTCCAAATTTTGCAATTCAGCCAAATAATGTGTATGAAAATGCATTAGGGAAAATAGCTTGGTAAAATGTGTATGTTGGGGGGGATTTGCACTTAAATGCTGATTAATTTTCATAAGGACCTTGATTAAGAAACAACAAAAAATGATGTGGAATTGTGGAGATCTGAACTTCAGATGGAAAAAATGAGAAACCAAAAAATGACAGATTTGCTTATGCCTGGTGCACACTAATGTCCTGGTTCTTTTGAAACATATAGCACTCATAACAGCTGTTTTAATTAATAGCCTGCATTTAACCAGTTAAAAATTCTGTTTTTACAGCGTGCTACAGAAGAGGAACAATATTCCTTACCAACTTCTGTATTCACCACAGCCGAGCAACGTCCCAATGCCTACATCCCAGATGATGAAAATGTTCTCCCTCTGCCACGGCCCTATGGCGCACTGGCTCCTTTCAAACCAGGCGAGCCTAGTGCAAATATGAGGCATATAAGGAAGCCAATAGTGAAGCCAATTGAAGTCTAAAGAGACAGAACCTTGCAGAAGTTATAATTCAGGGCCTACTCTTATGTTCAGAGTCAGAACTCCCTACAATGTCATAACAGATCACACAGTGTTGTTGACAAACATTCCCTAGTGTCACACAACACTTAATGAAATGAATGGTGTTGTACAGTAAGGGGTTGGCAAATTGTACCCTCTTAAGTATTTTTTATTTAAAAAACTATAAAGCAGATTTCCCCATATATTTGTGTTGCAAAAAAAACTATATTTTAAATAATCACAAGTAGTAAATTAGACATAGATCATCATCAGTACAATCCTCTTACCTTTATGCAGTTAGTTTCCAAACATTTAAGGCAGTATTTTGAAATGTTTGGAGGCTGCCAAGTAGTTTGGTAGCTTTATCTCCCATACTTTATACAATCGGTTATTAACATTTACTATCTGTGCCTTCTTGTTTTCTGCAGATGTATGAAGTACTCTTTCAATGCACAAATAAAAGTAACTGTGAAATAAAATGAGGTGGTTGTGCTTATTTAAATTTGTGATTACATTCCTTCCTCTTAAAAGGCAAAGAAGATGGTTTGGTAACTTTAGATATCCGCATTATAGTAGCAAGGAAGCATTACCACAAAAATAGGAAAGGAGTAAATTCTTGCACTTAGATAAACAAAAAACCAGTATGTTTTCTAGGGTGTGCACCAACCACAGTAATCTGTTTGGCACTTTGTAAAGCAAACTACCTTAGTTGGAGATTTATTGGTTGCCTGATTTACCGTATTTTTTGCTCTATAAGACTCACTTTTTCCCTCCTAAAAAGTAAGGGGAAATGTGTGTGCGTCTTATGGAGCGAATGCAGGCTGCGCAGCTATCCCAGAAGCCAGAACAGCAAGAGGGATTGCTGCTTTCACTGCACAGCGATCCCTCTTGCTGTTCTGGCTTCTGAGATACAGAATATTTTTTTTCTTGTTTTCCTCCTCCAAAAACTAGGTGCGTCTTGTGGTCTGGTGCGTCTTATAGAGCAAAAAATACGGTAATTGGTCCACCCAAGTCTACTTCATTTACCTTCCCCCATTCACTATTTTGGGAGTGGTTTTAAAAAGATTTCACTTAACCCCCACCCCCAAATGTTTTGCCAGCAGACATGTTTTGAAGATTGCAGACATGACAGAGGTGTCCCTGCCTGAGTAACAAAGCTGCTGATTTGTGTAGACAAGTAAGATATGAGACTCCTGTGCTTGGCACTTAAAAGCTTGACCTGTCAAGTCACAATGCATTGCTCCTACTTTCCTCTCCCCATCCTGGCATTATCTTCAAAAGCGGAGGGGGAGGGAAGGAAGGGAGGGAAGGAAGGGGAATAAAAGATCAGGCTAAGTTCAAATTGAAAGCCAGGCGGAATAGCTCTGTCTTACAGGCCCTGTGGAAGGAAGTGAAATCCTGCAGGGCCCTGGTCTCATGGGACAGAGCATTCCACCTGGTCGGAGCCATCACTGAAAAGGCCCTGGCCCAGGTGGAGGATAATCTGACCTCCTTAGGGCCCGGGACCTCTAAACTATGATTATTCATGGATCTTAAGATACTCTGCAGGGCATACCAGGAGAGGCGGTCCCGTAAATACGAGGGCCATAAGCCACAAAGATTAGAGTGTGTTGTCAATTACAGACTAAACCTGTCAGCCATTAAGGAGATCCCCCAAATGAGGGCTGGTCCTTTAGGGCAAATGAGGCACTGGCCCCCTCCCCAACTTCAGTCTGCCCTCAGCCAGCCCTGCCTGCCTGTCTTCTTACAGACAAGCAATCCAGAAGGGGACTGCCCCCTCTTCAGCTGCTGGCGCTTAAGCTAGAGACTTAAGTTGCAATTTTTCAACGTTGTTCCCTCTCCCCCTCCTCCATCCTGGTTAAACTTAGAGGCACAGTTTCACTTTTCTACAGCTTTTTTTAAATGTCTGGATTTCTGAGCCAGACAAGACAGGCATTCCCACTATGATTCATGCTAACCTTGAAGAAGCCCCCGATCCCTTTGAAGTACCCTGTACAATATTTTGCACTCCTCCGCTTTCTAGATCTGACTCCCACACATATTTTAATCCTGTTGCATAGTTTGTGACTAATTTCAGTGGGACTACTCTTGCGTATGAAATAATGGGCTTAGGTAGACCATGACATAGTTGGATACCACCCATTAGGCTTATATAACAAAATAGTTACCTGTTTAAAATGATGCTCTGGCTAAAAAGACTTTAGTACCCAGCACTCTGATGGAATAAATTTCAGCTGCAGTTTTTCGACAATTAATTATAGTTCCATCCTACTGGAATAGGACATTCAAGTATGTAGAGTCTGACTTAAATATGTGGAAGAAGTTTTTGTTCACTATAAGTCAAACACTTAGATAATAGGGGTTTTTTTGTAGCTGCAAGGAAACTGACATCAGTTTAATGGTATGCCAGCATGTAGGAAACTGAAAATGTTCCTGACTGGAATCCAACTTTTCTATTGCTGTTGCTGTTCACAGCTAAGAAAACAAACAGAGAAGCCTAGTGCTTTACAAAAATAGTTGAGAAGCAAGAGCGAGATGCATGACTTTTTTGATAGCAACTATTTCTTTTCGCACTGATCTACATCTATCAGCAAGAGACACATTCCAGTCCTACTGATTTAAATGGAAATCACCTCTCACATCAGTATAAACAAGCTTTAATAATGCTTAACTTAAAAGTGGATCATACCCACTGATTGCTAAGGGACAATACAGATATAAATATGCTCTAGTTGAAATTTAGTTGCCTTGCAGAAGTTTCATGTGATTGTAGCAAAATATACAAAAGAAAGATGACATTTTACATAAGCAAGGATATATTAAGTTTCAAAATTATACATTTATTCCCATTATTTACAGAGAGCTATTTTATTCATACTTCCCAAGTTCATAAATGGATCCCCTTATACATCAGTGTACAACAGCTGCTGGTTTCTTTTTGATCTGTTATATAGTTACTCCATATTCAGAATTTATTTGCCAGAATCTGAACTGGAGTAGCAGGCAAATTAAGCAGAAGTTCGTAATTCCATGTCTGTACCTGAAAGTCACTGCATTTTGGGCACAGCAACTTTGGCATGTATCCCATTACTAATAATAAGTAGCGACAATGAGAAAGTCATTATACTGAACTCTCTCTAAGTAGTCAGCGGAAGTTTTAGGATTTCTCCTGAATCAGTACATGTCACTAGCAGACATAGCAAGGCTGAGATGCAGCTGAGGTAAGAAGGTCGCTTTCGATAAGTTTCACTAAAGACCTAAGAGCAGAGTCGTGTGCTTCAGTGCCAACTCTTCCACACATCTTGCATTCATGTTTTCCTGTGCCACAGAAGCCATCCATCCTAGAAAGGATCACAAAGGGCGTGAATTTGAGAGGCTTATAGTTAACACTGGTGGATACGAATGCAAAAAAAGCACAATTTGTTTTTTAGCACTCCTAAAACCCCACTCATGTCACACAGCTGGCATTTGGGAATCTCATCACATGCAGCACAATGGTTGCTTTTCATGGCAGCAGACGTGAAAGAGGAAGGTGAGGTTCTGTAAGGAACCAGTGTGATCTGGAAGGAGCTTCTCAGCAGACACAGTGCCTCATTTGAAATGTGTGAGGTGCACCAGGCACTGATGAATTTAGTGTTTAACAAGTGTCCCACAATAATTTTGTTTTGCTGCTTACCTGCTTTTCCGGTGTATTTCTATGTAACCAACATTCAATAAAAATGTGTTTTTTGGAGGAGAGGGGAGGATAATTTTGCCACTAATTAAGGAAGCTGCAAATTGGGCTTAATAATTCTATATTCCAGCAAGGTGCATGTGAACCCCAGAACAACATGGCAATAGCAAGATGAGATGCGTTTTTAAACAATCAAGGAACTTGGATAGAAAACTGCAGGAGTATAGTTACCTTGACTCTCCACCTCTGCCAGCATATTGACCAAGTAGTTAAGCGGAAGAAACTCTATTTGAGGGGACAAACTCTCCATAACTAGCATACTGTACTGTGAAGGAAAATGCATTTTAAGTATTGGATTAATACTAGGAATAACAGTAAAGCCCTTTAACTTCTAAGATTCAATTTATCCAGATCCCCTCATCTCTCTTCCCCGCTTTCCTGCTATGCCATTTAGACTCAGACACTCCTGTCTTCCAAACTTCTGATCTGGTGTTCCAGTGCTGCTCAAGCGAATGGAGGTTTGCAAATTTCCATGTGGACAAGAATCACAACAACTTCAAGTTGAGGTTTAATCCCAAGATACTTACCTGTTTACTGCTGAGTTTCTCAAGCAAGACTTTAACATAGTTCCTTGCAATACTGTTGGTGCTTACAGGGTGATTCCAGAGTTGACTAACCTTACGACCAGTTGCCTAGAAGACAAATAAATAAGGTTAGATATCTAAAGGGCAATGCAGCATTGATCTGTTCCTTTTTGGATGATGATTAATTTACACTGCAGTCCAGTCCTAAACCACATCTACTCAGATATGAGTCACACCAAGTTCAATGCTGTTTACTCGCGGGTGGCGCTGTAGGTTAAACCACAGAGCCTAGGGCTTGCCGATTGGATGGCCGGCAGTTCGAATCCCCATGACGGGGTGAGCTCCCGTTGCTCGGTCCCTGCTCCTGCCAACCTAGCAGTTCGAAAGCACGTCAAAGTGCAAGTAGATAAATAGGTACTGCTCCGGCGGGAAGGTAAACGGCATTTCCGTGCACTGCTCTGGTTCGCCAGAAGCAGCTTAGTCATGCTGGCCACATGACCTGGAAGCTGTACGCCGGCTCCCTCGGCCAGTAAAGCGAGATGAGCGCCGCAATCCCAGAGTCGGCCATGACTGGACCTAATGGTCAGGGGTCCCTTTAACTGGGGTTAGGACTGCAGCCTTTTCTGCCCAAATAATAATTATTAATAAACAATAATAGCACAAGCCACAATTTCAAATGTAGACTTCATGATAAGGTAAAGGTAAAGGTACCCCTGCCCGTACGGGCCAGTCTTGACAGACTCTGGGGTTGTGCGCCCATCTCACTCAAGAGGCTGGGGGCCAGCACTGTCCGGAGACACTTCTGGGTCACGTGGCCAGCGTGACAAAGCTGCATCTGGCGAGCCAGCGCAGCACACGGAAACGCCGTTTACCTTCCCGCCAGTAAGCGGTCCCTATTTATCTACTTGCACCCGGGAGTGCTTTTGAACTGCTAGGTTGGCAGATGCTGGGACCGAGCAACGGGAGCGCACCCCGCCACGGGGATTCGAACTGCCGACCTTTCGATCGGCAAGCCCTAGGCGCTGAGGCTTTTACCCACAGCGCCACCCGCGTCCCAGACTTCATGATAGCCATCTTCAAATATCTAAAAGGCTGTCACATGGAAGATGGAGCAAGCTTGTTTTCTCCTGATCGGGAGGGTAGGACACAAACCAGTTGAATCAAGCTACAAGAAATGTAGCTCTAATAGCAAATGACGTGCTTTCTCCACCATAGTGAAAAT